GTATATAGCCAACAACTAAATAATACAGATAGCTGACCTGAAATCTAATTTGGTCTAAACACTTTAAGCAATAAGATTTAATTCGTATTTAAATTTAACACTGTTTGCGTTGTCGTATAAAAACACTTCTCGCTTGCCCTTTGACATGTATGCAAATGCCCTAGATCAAACATAGCGGATGGCCAGCAGCAACGAAGCTATCGTGAATGTGCCGTTTACTGACTAATCAGGGGGAAATACAGAGAATTCTGAAACAACGTAATTAATCATTATTCATTAATTCATTAAATTAATTTCTAATTTTCAAAGCATTGTCATACAACTGACTTTTTCTTTCAGTTATGACAACCTTTAAAAGATTTTATCAAACTTAACTGAGTTTTATTGTATTGTGCACATTTTCTACAATCATTGTTCGAACCTCGTCACAGGTCAAATTTTGGATATAAAATACAAAAATATGATCTGAATGATAACAAACATTACTTCATTTTCAGCAATGGACGAGTTATTATGAAACTAATGTTTATCGGTGACAGCATGGTTGGACATCATTCAACGATTTGTGGTACTTTCCGTTTGATACTTTAAAAGTTTTATATTTTGCTATGTTTAATTTTCCTGGAATTTCTAAATTTTGCCATTTCGCGGGATCTATTTTTGCGGATTTCAGGTCTATTGGCTATGATTCATAGTGCTAGGGTAAGGATGGATGAATTGCTATTGCTTTTGTAAGTGGTTATATTTTACGAAAATAATAATAATAATCATGTTATCCCAAATACTGAGAAAAATATGACCATTTTACGATACGTAACTACATTTATTTATTCAAGACCACCATTACATGTATCAAACCACAAGTGTTTGATTTCTTGTTCAAAAATGCATTTACACCTTGATATACAATTTTGATACTAGTAAATCGATGCGTGAAAATAAACATTGTAATTGTTTCAAATAATTTTCGTAACGATTATTAAAATCATATATCACCTTCACAATGGATAAGCTGCAGATTGGTGATTATTTTTGGACACGAATTGTATATCTTCTGTATGCTACTGATGTTGCAATAAAACTATCAAATTGGGTATATATATTACATCTGCACTGATGGAAAACAATCTTGTTTTGATGTGTACATGTTGTTTATTGAAGGAGTGCATACACGAAAACACCATAAACATTCAAGAGACTTTTGGAAAAGATCAGGTTTCAATCTACACTTAAATTCCTCTTGCAAGGAAATGAATATATAATGTTCGTTTTATCTTCATTTTTCGAAAATGTATGGGTTGACTGTTCAGGAATCAGCGTAAGAATGGTATAGTTTGTCATACATTTCTTACAGTCTAAATGAAGATAAATCTGTCTGTTACGTATATGTACATCCATGGAAATTGTCAACATTTTGATTTGGAACAGTATATTCGCAAAAATTTGAATTCTCGAAAGAACAACACGGCTACAATATATATGTACCTTGGTTTCTCTTGTCTGAATTAAACATAGCGAAATAAAATAAAATAAAAAATAAAATGTAAAAGTAGCAAATAAAAATCCCTAACTTAAGTTAATATTAGCATATTCAAAACAAGCGAAAACATCGGTAGATAAATGTAATTCAAATTAATTCATAACTCTTCGATCATGACATGGTAGCTATTGTGTACCCAATTAAAGAAAATGCCCATCTAAAAATAAAAATGGTTTGTTTGAAAAATTATATAAAAATATCAAAATATCTGTTAATAATGTCATTTTCCTTGTTGACATAATGTTGCAGACCGTATTTAATTTCAGTTGGACACTGACAAAGGCAATCGATACGGACCATATAAGTCCTGCTACCGGCAGTGTCACAGTGTCATTATCGTGTGTGACGTAGTGAACTTGGTAAGTATGTCACATGAAACTTCTGACATTGACATCACAAATTCAGTCCTACATTATTTATAAGGGTCGAATACTAGACAATTGGATGCTGCTGAAATAGAAAAACGAAAAAAAAATATTAAGGGATTGTCGTATTAAATACAAGAATAACGTATTTATCTATGAGAATCATTGAGAAAGAATTGCAGAAGTGATTTATATGCCAATGTATCTAGTATTCATAAAATTAACAATTTATGTATAATTTGTATTGCAGTCCAGTATTGAAAACATCGACAAGATTTGGCTGATCCAATATATGTATCAAACAGTATGGATCGACTGAGCTCGAAGTTGCCATCCTGGAAACTAAGTATGATCTCCCGAATTGACAGGTCGATTACGTCACGGCTAAGGTATATGAAAACCACCGCATCTTTGATGTAGCGAACACTGAAATCCTAGAAGTGATTAACAATTAGGGAATTTACGTGTCCGCTCATTCCGGTTCATGATACCTGTCGACCGACATACGTTGCTGATTTTTTCAGTGGATATCATAGCTATCATCATATATCAATCAACGATAGATAATGACAATTGCATAGTTCCCATATGACATGTATACAGTTATATTTAAGAGATAAGCAATATTAAATGTATACTACTGTCATACGTTAATTACTAAACAGCAGTCGAATAAACATAGTTTACACTAACATACTTGGTGTTTCGACATAAATATAGATGCTAGTTGATAAATTGATGATAATTCAATCCAGTTAATAAAGTGTCATATGTTTACATGTACAAATAAAGAACAAAACGTTGAAAGTTAATACGATACATAGCAAATATACTTGTTTTTCTAAAATGTATTAGCAATTATTATGTTGATTACAGAGATATGCAGATAGCCTGCACGTACCGTTGATGAAGACAAGTTCCTTGACTGGTTATGTCATTAACCGTGCCGTCATGTCCGGTGTAGCCATGGCTTTGGACAAGAATATTCAGAATGCGTCGTCAATATGTGAACGGGATTTTGTCCCGTTGGCTGTCAACTCTTCTGACTATTCACATATATGAAACAAATACGGACACGAGCTGTCAACTGTGTTGACTGTCAACAGATCTAACAAAACCGGACTCTTGTTGTCAATTGTATCGACTGTTAGCAGATAAAACATCTAAAACTGGCTGTAGATTCTTCTAACAGGTCAAACAGCAAACTGACTTTTTCTGTCAAGTGTACTGAGTGTTTATAGATTTGTTAACAACGGACACCGTATGCAAAGTGTTTGTGAAGCACATGCATCTAACAACAAATAACACTTGCTGTAATATCACTCACAGACCACAGATCTAAGAACAATCGTCATTGATAGTTACTGTACTAACTGTATACAGCATCTACCACTTGCTGTCATTTGTACTGACGATCACATCTGGCAATTAATGCCATTTAGATGTAAACTGTATGTTTTACAACTTCCAATACTATTGTATTTTACATTCTATCATTTAAAGTGTATTCAAGATAATTGGTGATATTTCATTTGTTATAGGTGTCCGTAAAAACTAGAACGAGTCCATTATCATTGCAAAAAGAATATAGTTTAATTATGCACGTGCACTGCTTGTTTAAGTTTTCATCGCTTTATTTTGTTAAGATAATATATTTTATAAGACATATCAGTCCATGTTGTGTAACCAGTTCGACTGGGGAAATCAAATAAATATTTAAGGTTTTAAATATATTATTTGTATTACTGCCATATATTGACAATAATATAAAGTTGAAAAAAAGAAAGAGAGTATATTACAATATATTTGGTTCCAAACGAATATCATACTCGTTGAAAGTTTGAAATACACATGTAGTACTTAGCAAATGAATCAATAAAATATTTCGAAGCACATATGAACAGTTATTTTCATGGGAAAGAAACTTTGGAAAATCTTGTAAGCAAGTGAAATAAAGAGTTTTATTTTAAGCAATACTTACACCAACCAAAATATTATGTTTTACACTTTTTCAGTGCTACTTGCTTTGATGCTCAAACTACAGAAGGGATGAAACACGTTAACATTCTTTTCATTTTTCTCATGATTAATATGCAATGAATTTCATTTATAATTCGCTTATGTGATTTCAAGGTTATGTAAATGTATCTAATCGTGTTTGATTTTAAAGTCTGTTGTCTTCACTTTAACTGTATGTTTAAATATGTACAATATCATTCATATCTTATTAACTTACGATTTCCGCATACATAAACTATTTTAGAAATATTAACCGATATACCCAGTACTTCGACAGCGTGTTATACAGTTTTCCAATGATATGTACTCTGGGCTGCTGATACAACTGTCATTTCTATCAATAACATTATTTTAATTTATTGCTGTACTTGGAAAAATGAAATGTATTATTTGTATATTCTTTTATGTCAGTCAACTTGTAATGATTCAGCTTGATGTTAATGATATGAAATAAACATAATTGTTACTATTTATTTCATGTTGTTTTAGATAAATAATAATATAACATCTTTAAGTAAAAGTGATATAATTTTATCGAATTATCGAATGATATAATTCAGGAAACGGTGTCTGCATTCTTATCGTGATATAAGACAGTAGAGAAAGTATTGTACGTTGCATTGACTTACTTTGTACAACATGCAATACTGAGTATGAGTTTGATTGGTACCCTTGTAGAGACGACCAGCTTAACTTAATATTGATTCGTTTAATTCATTCTTATATATAGTGATACATTATAAACCACTTTGATTCCGTTTTACCGGCTTTTTCTCATAGACGATCCCACGCTGACAAAATTATGCATGCAGTTTCTGATACTGTCTATGTAAATATAGTAGTGACGCATGATGTATATAGTGACGCAATCATATGTCATATTCTTGTGTATATAAATAATGTTTTCTGACAAAATGTTATATAATGTATGCAGATGACCTAGTAACAAGATTTAAATTGACTTATCATTTATTATATAGGGCGTTATACAAATGCACTAAAAAGTATATATACACACATGCAAACGTAACAGCTGGGAATTCCCGGTGTATGCGTCTACATGATCGGCCTTCCATATATAGCTCGCGTGACCGGAAGCTTTATAAAAAGCCTAGCCTATTGTAACACCAAGGTCACGCCCCCATATCTCATACACATATGTGGAACTTGATAACACAGGAAAGGCTGATAATATATACAACGACTGGAAGCAGACGAGACTGGCTTTAGTACCTGTATACTTTCCCCGGTTCCACCTCATCCTGAGTCAATGTCTAACATGGATACCTCCGAATATCTCGGGGGGGAATGAATGGAAATAATGGGGAAGTACGTCCCCACCAACCGTACAAGACCGTCCACTTCAGGTAAGATCATCACCAGCCTACACGTACGTATCTGTTTACCTGTGAACACTTTCGTCTACTAGTCAGTTCGGATGAATTTTCTCGATTTGATGCCATTGTTATAAATTACAATGTAGCTATTTTTCAAATTTCATTCGTTTAAATTTTGATTATTTAATTTAATTTAATTTTCAAATATTGTCCACGAAGAATGAAAATAAAGACGAAATGCCTATTACGAGGACTTAAAACCGATGTGTAATTAGTATGTGCGAGTCCAAACGGCAACAGCCAATTAACATATATATATGTATATATGCAGTAACAGCTGGGAATATATATCATCATTGATGATCAATCTCGTTTATAAGTACAACGTGACATAATAACACACATATACATGACAGCTACAGTGTAGCTCCGCCAACCATGTCTATATTATGTACGTATAGCCTATGTGGTGTACACTATTACACAACATTTCGTTACTTACATACATATATTGTACCCATACACATGGAAACCTACACTCNAGTCCAAACGGCAACAACCCATTAACATATATATATATATATATATATGCAGTAACAGCTGGGAATATTTATCATCATTGATGATCAATCTCGTTTATAAGTATAACGTGACATAATAACACACATATACATGACAGCTACAGTGTAGCTCCGCCAACCATGTCTATATTATGTAGTTATAGCCTATGTGGTGTACACTATTACACAAAAGTTCGTTACTTACATACATATATTGTATCCATACACATGGAAACCTACACTCAGTATATGAGTATAGAAAGATACATTTGTAACATGCAAACACTCAGCCCACGTACATTTCTACTTTACTGTCTAGAATGCGGTCATATGATCTTCAAGAGTACCACACTACGGCAGACAGCTGTTTCTTTTTATAATGAGACGTACAAGTTATCTGTACCGTTGTAAATCATATTGTAATAGGCATGCAGTGTATATCTCTGTTCGGTTATTAATTATGAAACACGAAATTTCTTTCTCGTAATAAATGAAGAACCAAAGTTTATGTTCATTTAATANAAGTTGCATCGTGTTTACACTCGTGGTCTGTGTTATTTGCTGGCGCAGTATATAAGTATAGAAAGATACATTTGTAACATGCAAACACCCAGCCCACGTACATTTCTACTTTACTGTCTAGAATGCGGTCATATGATCTTCAAGAGTACCACACTACGGTAGACAGCTGTTTCTTTTTATAATGAGACGTACACGTTATCTGTACCGTTGTTAATCTTATTGTAATAGGCATGCGGTGTATATCTCTGTTCGGTTATTAATTAAGAAACACGAAATTTCTTTCTCGTAATAAATGAAGAACCGAAGTTTATGTTCATTTATTTAGTATGATGAGACAAACTCTTTCTCAACTCTCTATTAACAAAGAACAATATATGCAATCTCTGTCCTGTTACTAATAGTGAGACGCACTCACTCTGTAACCGTACTAATGACAGGACACACGATCTCCGAGACAGTCTAAAGCCACACTGAAACACACAGTAGTCTCCGTATATATATATAGAGAGAGAGAGACACGTGGGAACGTTGTCCATTCTTGGTTAGCCATTATTAGGTGGTCTACATCTTGTTCTTTCTGGTACTGTTACGCCTGCTTGGCTGGTTGATTGTCACTATCTGCATCATATACTGTACAAGTATAGTTACGTCAGCTAGCTAACACATATTGTATATGTGTATCCTGTTTACATTCACATTCCCTCGTATATTTCCGGTGTTTAAACCCGCTATATATAATCTTTTACTACGGTGGTCCCCGAGTACCATACACGATGAACAATAATCACACCACACGATGTACGTTCAATGAACCAAAGGGACGTGGGAATCATTGTGTCATGGTGTACCGATTTGGATGTACGAGAAAGTCTGCTTGAGCACAGAAATCGTTCTAAAGCATGAGAACAGTTTCATGAAAACGGGCCCTGAAAAGATCATGAATGAATGACTCGTATCAAGATATAACAATTCTTGTCAAATAGCATGGCAATTCCGGCCATTTTTTACAAAGATTTCTTAGATATAATTGATATATTTTTAATGCACATCATTTTTTTTCTTCTTTCTAGAATGGTTTCATAACAAAAAATATTAAGTATTACTAGAGATATTACCAGTTAAATCAAAGATTCAATGAACCAAAGATTTAATTATATTTCAACTCATATATATCCGTAAGCGTCCTAACATTGCTCTTCCTCTTCAAATATTGATCCGTGCACAAGTACTGTCTATGTGGGTGAATACTAACCTTCCTGTTTGTTAATGTTTCATAACCTAATCTAATCTATATCTACGTGGGTTGATTTTTACCTTTAACTGCATATGAATCTTCTTTCTACCACTTTGGGAGGGGTATATGCATATAGGCGTATTAACTGTCTTGTGTTTACATTGATGTACATATTTTATAGAGCTAGGATGCTACATAGTGGGTTTCGCAGTATGCCATCTTTAAAATCGTCTCCTAGTTTAATAACAGTAATATATAATCTACGGTTTATAAGGTAGGACTGACTTGTAGACACTTTATGAAACATTTATTAAACATAATGACGTTTGATGCATTGATTGAGACATTTCAGCAAGACAACGGATGGTGGCGGACAGGTAGCTGGCAACACGTTTTAAAGTTGTCTTTAATAAGAAGAGTTGTAATGACGAGCCACGGAAATAAAAGTACATGGATATTATGTAGATTTTTTGTACCAACACTAGACAATGCGTCCAAAAGAGAGTTGAACATGCTTCCTAATTTACTCTATGCTTATGATGGAAACAATGTTAAGTGTTTTAGTTTTAATAATTATTAGACAACCATACACGACTATTCAAAAGAATAGCTGCATGAATTGTATATATTCTCTGCAGGATTAATTTCATTCTCGTCAGACATTAACTATTGTATATAGAAACAAAAAGATGTTGTGCTTTATGAACCATATGTACCTTAACTATTTACAAATCATTTCCAGACAAGGACGAGTTATTGTGGACCTGATGCTCATCGGGGAATACAACGCTGGAAAGTCAAGCATCATTCGACGATTTGTGGTAAACGTTTGATAATTATTAGAAAGCATTATTTCTCCTTCTTTACTTGTCTAGCGTTGTTTTATAATAGGATACATGTGTATATATAGACGCGGGTCAATCGTTAATTCTAGTCGATGTTATTTAACAAAAAGCAAATTCAGCCCTGGGATTCATTCGATGGAACCTGAAATACTGCCCTGAGACTCTTCAAAAAATCTGCTCATAAACTCGAATACAGTGACACACTGTGGGATCCAGTTCTCTCGAAGGATATCGATAGGTTGGAGGCTATGCAACGGCGCGCTACCAGATGTATCTGTAATGATTATGGACGAAAATCTAGTGTGAATACCATGATGGAGAAACTCAACCTCACTCCTCTGGCAGAAAGACGACGCGAGCATTGACTTATTATGATGTACAAAGTAGTCAATGGCCTAGTAGCAATCCTCCTAAAAGATAAAAACACTCAACGACATTTAAACTTATAACATCAAATGTTAATACATTCAAGAACAGCTTTTCCCCATGAACAATCAATGAGGACAGGAACAGTTAAGACGAATATTGTATTTTGGCGGATGATTTGGAAAATTTCAAAAAATACCTACAAAAATCTGACTGTTTGTATGGGTTTACCGACCTTGCACCAGCCAGGGTCTTGTGAAGACGGGAACCTTGAAAAACACAGCCGAAAAGAAATAAGAGGGAAATGAACAAAAACAATATGTGAATCCAAAGGGTTGCAATGGGGCAGCAGACCAGTTTCATTATCGCCATTGTCGCCTAAAAAGACAAAATAGAAACCTTTATTCTGCAGAGAATCCCATAATATTCCTATTATACGATAGCATACAGTTAGATACAAAAGTCCTAAACTTTCCCCGAATCTGAAGGAGTCTCTTTAACATAAAAAATCTACGTGCCGTACAAAGTTTTACTTAATTTTGCGGAACATCTAGAACAAATGAATAAGAGAGAACAAAGGAAATGTTGTCGATTAATGAAGTCAACTTAGGGAAAAACGGAATGTTAACAGGCGGCATTAAAATGTTAATTGCAGTATGAACGACATATTTTGAACGAGGTTTTACTTGAGTATTGTTCACATGAATTCCATACCCTCGTGTATATAATACTCTCATATCTAAGTTTCTCGCTTATACCAATGGTTGTGCCCAAGACAAAGACAAACAAATTGTATCTGTGTTTTAGGATGGAACATTTGACGACAGTTTGTGTTATACGATTGGCTGCAGTTTTGTGAGTATTTTGCTTTAGACGTTCAGCTGAACAACGTAGAAACTAGATTGGGCTATTAGTGTTCTTTTGTTATTCCTATACAATGTGTTTCATGTGTAATTATTACTTTACCCTGGTTTAAACTTTGTTTTATTCAAATTGTGTTAGACAATACATCGAAATACATCTTTTACCTTGATTATCTATGTATCGGCGTATCAGCTCATATTACACATTTAATAATTGTTTTTTTTAAACTCGTGCTTTAGACGTTCAGCTGAACAACATAGAAAATATATGGGGTAATTTGAGTAGTTTTGTAATCCCTATACAATGTTTTGCATTTATAATGATTATTTTTCCTTGTGTTACAGTATGTGAAGAACGTATGTCTTGACCGTTCTGACATCAAGTTAAGACTGGTATAGTACAATTATTTATATTTTACTTAATAAATGGATATTTTATTTCAATATTTACTACAATTTGTATGCGTTAGTATTGACAAAACTATCTGAAAAGGTTTCAGTACATTAAATTGCCATACAATCGTACGCATAGAAAGATTAGCCCACATCCAAATTGATTTTCTTGAATTGCTTTTGTAAATTGTTTGATATGTGATTTCGGTGTGACGTAACAATGCGAGTACNACGTATGTCTTGACCGTTCTGACATCAAGTTAAGACTGGTATAGTAAAAATATTTATATTTTACTTAATAAATGGATATTTTATTTTAATATTTACTACAATTTGTATGCGTTAGTATTGACTATCTGAAAAGGTTTCAGTACATTAAATTGCCATACAATCGTACGCATAGAAAGATAAGCCCACATCCAAATTGATTTTCTTGAATTGCTTTTGTAAATTGTTTAATATGTGATTTCGGTGTGACGTAACAATGCGAGTATGATTATGCTTTTCTAGTCACGATAAAGTTGGAAACTGTATTTATATTTCAGTGGGACACCTCCGGAGGCGAACGGTACAGGGGCCCTAGTAGGTCAGAGTACCGGCACTGTCACGGCGTTATCATCGTGTATGACGTCACAAACATGGTATGTAAAGAACAAATTAGGGGAACTGTTTTAAAAGGAGAATAGCAGATGCTATTTACATGTATAGAGAAAAGTATAACTCTTCCTGATAATAATTAAGTTAAAACATGTTTTGCAGAAAAGCTTTGAAAACATCGCAAGCATTTGGCTGAAGAACATAGAGCAAAATGGAACGAGTGACCTAGTGGTGATGATCGTTGGAACCAAGTGTGACCTTCCGGGTCGACAGGTTGATTACGTCACGGCTAAGGTATCACGCTTACCTGAAAACCGAAACAAATTTAAATCTGAAAACAATTTTTCTTGGGTTTGAAAGAACATATCTGATAAAAACGTACTTGTCTTAATTTAGCACTGATCATCCCTGTGCGATTTAACATTTTAATGTTGCATAAATAAAGATAATAGCCCTATTGCAACAGGTGACGTAGTAACAAGAACGAAAAAACTTCTGAGATGAGTGTTTGTTGTGATTATGTTTGCAGAAATATGCCGACAGACTGAACGTACCGTTGATGGAGATAAGTTCCCTGACAGGATATGGCATTGACCGTGCCATCATGTCTGCCGTTACCATGGCCTTAGACAAGATTATCCAAAACGCATCGTCGATATGTGAAGGGGAATATGTCTATGCAAAGAGGAAAACTGACAATGGCTGTCAACTCTCCTGATGGCTAACAAAACGCCAAAGATCTTAAAACAATTAAGGATGGATGTCATCTACACTGATAGTCCGCATAGCTAACAATATTGACACTGTTTGTCAAATGTACTGGGAGCACAAAGATCTGACAACATTCGCACCGACTGTCAACAGTACTAAGTGGACATAGATTTAATAACAACTGATACTGGCTGTCAAACGTAGTAAGGATCCAGAGATTAATTAACTCTTGTTTACTTACTGAACATACATATTCGTAAAAGATGTGCATTGCTTAGGTTGCCTTACAATCGTCAGCTGTAGGGAATTCCCTCAGCGGTAAAGCATCGTGCTGGAGCCCCATCGACGGCACTATCTTTATCACTATTTCTCGTCATACTACACAACCTGGTGCCGTTGACCCTCTCCGTTTAAGGTAGGAGAACACTTGGCGGGAAGCCAAAGAACCTGGGTTACATTCTTCTATGAAGAATAATTGTTTTCATGTGTATTGAAGACTAATGATATTGACGTGTTTTTTTTTATTTTGACTGGTGCTTCAATTCTATAAAATGGAACAAATCACATCATTATTGCATGAAGTTCTAATAAGAACAGATGTAGTTTAATGTAACATGTACGGTCTATACGTGCGCTTCCTGCACCAAATTTATTTGTTGAAATAAGATAGTTTTGTACATGTAGTTCATATCGGACTTGACACGAGTTTCCATGCATTTCATATAAAAATGAAACATGCATATTTCTTTTCTTTTTATCGAGCACCTAGCGAGCTAAGATAAAGTGATTTTAAGGTAACTTCTATCCCAAGATCAAAACCTGCTTTTCCATCTCATTCTTGAAGGCTAAAATACTGCCATCTTGGCGCAATACATAATGTTTCCATTGTGACGTTAAAATATAATACAAGACCCTGTGACGTTATGTCATTCCAATGTATATCGTTGTGTTGGTACTATTACATGCGTTCATATGCCATATATATATATGGCATTTGCATTTGCTGAATGGTTACGCAAGTTGAATGGGTTCCTCATGCATCCAGTTTAACTGGGAAATAGTACAAGTAATCTGGTCCGTAGTTTTAGATGACGTGACACTGTATGTGTAATGCTTATGTGCTTGTTTTGTTGGGATGTTTGTGTTATGAATTTTGTTAATAAAATACGTTATTTTATATACTGTTTATCCTGGGCTTTGTTAGTTTTCTTGTGTTGCATGTTATAAACTGACCATGATCTCCTGGTGTCGATAGCTGTTTTGGAAAAACGTCCAAAGTCAATATAACGAGGAACACGAGATTACTCGTGTATTATATTTCTGCAATCATTAAGAGCGGCGTTCTTCAACGTCATATATATGTCCTCTTTATTTCAAAGCCATGAATATTTAAGTTTTTTGTATGTATTATCGAAGGAAACCGGTTAAGAATTATGTAGTATGACTCAAGATATAATTCCCATGGGCCAGAAGTAACTTGGAAACACATCATTGTAATATGAGTGTATTCCTTGCTTCATATCCAGCAAGTGTCTAATTAAGCATATGGTCACCGGGTAGCGATCTCAACTATTTGCATGTTAGACCCAGAGACTAGTTCTCAATGTATGGCCCAAATCCTTCAGCTAATCCAAGTAACACGATTTGTTTGTCTCTTCATAACCAATTATTGAACATGTACATGTCTGTATATCTAATTATGATGCGGGAATCTGAAAATGTCCATGTTTTAATCCATAAGCTAAATCTTCAGCCGAGGGCAAAGCTGGATCCCGAGGCTAGTCTGCGTAACTTGCGTGCATTTGTTTCCCCATGCCCAACAGTACACGTATGGTCATAAGGTGGTGACGTCAACCATTCCCAAGTTAAGTCCTCAGGGGTGGGGTTGGAACGAGAAATGAAACTTGGTAGCATGGTTGTCATCTCTTCATGCCAAATAATACAATGAACAGTCCATAGGTTCATAGAACGTATACATTTTATTCTGCAGGCATATTTACTTGTGATGTAGGTTTCGATCATCTGCCAGCTAATACACACACAACAATTTGAGCTGTCATCAAATTTCTTACCAAAGAAGGTGTAAATGAGAAAGAAATTTATAATCCCTAAGTATTTCAAAGTAGCAAAATGGACAGCTAATTTAAACATGGCCACCGTTCATCTGAAGATGACCTTCGGTCTAGTCATCCTGTTGAGGTAATTACCAATAAAATGATTGCCCGTGTTGAGGCTATGATCAAGAATGGTCGGTGAATAAAGGTATACGAAATAGCTCTTGAGTGCGACATTTTTAATGAAATAGTTTGCACTATAATCAATGGCCATCTAGAGATGTCAAACGTTTATGAAAGATGGGTGCCTCAAAACCTTAATGCACATCATCAACATCATAGACTTGAGTCCAGTTGAGAGCTGAAGACTATTTACAACGAAAACCCAGAGACATTCCATTTACACTGTGTCTGGTACAATTGGTGATGAAGTATGGATTCACCGTTGGGTCCCAGATGCAAAACAAGAGTCTACCAAATTGAAACAAGCGGACACCGCTCCATCAAAGAAACTTCTAACTCAACCATCTGCTGGTCCAGTCATTAGGACTAGGTGAACTTATAATGAGAAATCAGGTAAACCCCAACTTTTCACTTTGATATACATTCGTTTCCATTTGCAATATATGATAACAACATTTACATGTTAGCTTGCTGAAGGTGGCCCTACAGCTGTACATTAATACAGAATACTGCTATGAAGGGTCAATGTACATAATCAGACCAAAATGACATGTTGAGCTGAACATTTCAACAAACACTTCAGTTGGTCCTCAGTAACTACATTTATTTTTCTGGTATTCCTATCTGTTGCATTGCGAAGCATAAAGGGATGATGCTTGTTTCAAGTGAAGTACCTTTGCGAAATTTATTTTCTTTGAACTATTTAGATACATACAAATGTATTGCCTGTATGAAGTTCACTCACCTTTAAACAATATATAGTAACTAATATTCAACATGACAAGTCTTTCTGATTGGATTGCAAAAAACGTTGATAAAATATCTTCTGTATAAAATTATTTTAACAAATAACATCTCAATCAACCAGTTTGAGCATCTTGGATGTTTAATTACAAAATACAATTCATATTCTCTATACATGGTTTTTATATGCCCACATAAAAACTAGGTTTCAATTCATTATGACCGATCCAGGAAAAACTGGGATTGTTCAACGGTCACTTTGAACCCTCCAACTTATAATGGACAATAACAAAATGCCAAGAGGGCCTGTTTTGCTCACCTGAAACTTTATGTCCAGCAATAGTATATATAAATGTATATAGCTATGGGTTGGAGATCTCAACCATTTCAAAATTACGGTCCCTACGGAGTGAGCGCGATCCCAGAGTCTATTTCAATATCATGACTCTTTATACCTGTCGAATGTAATATCGTTACTTGGTGGGGATCTTGACCGTTTAAATGTTATGACCAAGAAATTAAGTCCCTATGGATGGGGCCAGACCTCAGGGTCATTCCTCATATCCTTATTGTGTTCTTTGCTCTACAATGGTGTAGTCAGATCCCAGGATCAAATTCTAATGTTGTAATTGTATTTGCCTCTTGAAGCCCAGCATGGATATATGTGTAAATGGTTATGGGGTGGGGATCTCCACTGTTTCAAAGTTATGACCCAGGAACTTAGACTCCGAGGTTGGAGTCATGACCAGACCAAGGAATTATCCTAGGTCGGTCCTTTTTTGCCTCAACCCTCAGCCCCCAGTGGTCAGCCCCTCCATTTGTACAATTTTGAAACCTCACCACCTTAGAATGCTACAAACCAAGTACGGTTGATATCCATCTCTAAGTTATAGAGAAGAGGCCATAAAGCAATATGGCCTAATTACCCCTATTTTGCACTGCCCCTCTGCCCCTCATGGGTCAGCCTCTCCATTTGAACAATTTTAAATCCTCAACACCTGAAAATGCTTCAAACCAAGTACGGTTGATATCCATCTCGAAGTTATAGAGAAGAGGCCATAAAGCAATATGGCCTAATTACCCCTATTTTGCCCCGCCCCTCTGCCCCTCAGAGGGTCAGCCCTTCCATTTGAATAATTTCAAATTCTCACCACCTGAGTATGCTTCCAACCATAAATGGTTGATATCCATCTTTTAACTCCACAGCAGCTGTTGCTTGAAGAAATATGGCCAAATTAAACCTTTGGGCCCCACCCTTCAGTCCCCTTGAGGGTCAGCCCCTCCATTTGTACAACTTTAAATTCTTACCACCTAGGAATGCTTCCAGTCAAATCTGGTCAAATTTCAATCATTAATACCAGGTGAGCTAAAATCAGAGGCCTTTTTTTATATTGTTCACTTGAAAAAAAAAGAAAAAGGCATTTTTAGATGCGAGAAAAAAGGTATAACAATGTGCCGGATGCAAGCAAACAACTAAGGTAGCTAACAAGGTGCCCAAAATAACAACCTGAGTGCACCAAATCCTGCTTTTGGTTTAGCCTCAACTATAACAAACACATCTTAATTAAGACGAACTTCGTCTGTCTGTTCAGGATGATAACTGTGTAAATATAGAACAGATTATGATGAATGTTAAACTCAGTACTGTACAATTTGTATAACATAAAATGCTCATTGTGTATATAAAGTTTTGCGGTTTTCATGGTTGATTGCTATGGAACCATAAAAATTAATATAACAAATTTTATTGAGATACGCGACTACTGTTGTTTTTATTAAATTTAGGGTATCTACTATCCACAATAGTTTGTACCACGAAAAATCTAATTAGCATCTAACCATGAAGGTAAGTACCCGCAGACATTTCATTGTATTTATAGTTTGAGCAATATGTGTAAAAATATGAACAAAAATTTGAATACTTTAAGACACTGTCATGGTTCAATTATTACAGTTTTTGATGATCTGTACCTTCAAAATTCAAAATTTGGTTTTCCATTTGGCCAAACAATTTTTTCTTCTGGAATTTCTTCAGGATAAACTGTGTCTTCTTCATAAGATCCTCTCACACTTCCCATAATCAAGTCATTTTTGTAAACATTTAGAACTTCTCCGGCTAAACTGAAAAAATTGGATTTTGGTGCATGTTCTAGGTTTCCTGTTAAGCCACTTCCAAGATACTTGTAATTCACAACAAGCCATACGGCTATCAATGTGGAGTATCGCACCCCTTTTCCAGACCGCCAAGGCATTTTCACACTCTGCATTAGAACATCTTCTTTGCAATCGTATAAAAAGAAAATAACTTCTTTTGCAGATACTCCAATAGCAGGGACAAATAAGTTTTTTGAATCAGGATACTTTTTTTTTTGTAAAAATGAAAATACTATTGCCTGTGCGATCATCGGGTGTTTTATTTCATTGTAGTTAAGATTTTTGCACATAACTTCCACAGATGTCTTATCTCCATGGCGGACTTCTTTGTCTCCTGAGATCAGTATCGGCACACAGTCTTCGCCATGACCAAGAATAATATCAAGACACCCATGCCAGACAGCAGGTTCACCTGGAAAAACAAGCAAACAAAATGTAGAAACTAATGGAAACACAGGCAAAATTGAGTATCAAATATGTAAAACTTTCAAGTTTGAAAGTGAACTTGGGGGGAAAACAAATGCTGTAAAGATTGGTATTTAAGATATATACATCCTTGCAATTGATGCTCCAGGAATTACACTCACTTACGCTCTCTGCACCCCTGGAATATGTCATAGCAAAATCAATGGCTCAGTGTGTGGCACATTGTGGATGAGAGTTGAGACAAGAAGACCAGTTTGATATTTGATATCTGATGTACCTTAAAAGAATCTCGCAACCGCGTAACAGTAAAATTGACTGGCTTTGAAGTCGGGTGTTGCTCCTCTGTAATCTTCAAATGACAGGTATATGTATATCAGCCTAGCGAATGGTCAGGATTTTTTTTACCAAATAGCTACGTAACTGTGTGCCTTAAGTTTTTGCTATGTTATATTCCAGGAGTGCAGAGAACGCAACTGAATGTAACCCCTGGAGTATCGAAGATGAGATATATATTGCAGAGTGAAGAACTGCAAAAAGGTCCGTGAGTGGCCATAACCTCATCTTATGTGGACAAATTACAACTTACAATTGATAACAAGAGCACCGCAGGGCAGAACAATATATGCCTGTCCCATTCCAATCTGACAACTTAAAAATCCTTCTGGTACATTATTGTAAGTCGTTTTGGCCTTACAATAACGGCAGACCTTCATACATAGGTGGAGGTACATGTAGGTGTGTGGGGTATAATTAAAACATATCTTTTAATAGAAAATTGTATAACATACCTACACTGGTATCTCCAAGTCTGTACTTAACATCAGATTTGCATCCACACTGACATACACCACGGGTAAATTCTCCATGATTTCTACAGGTTTCATCAATTGAATAGCTGCTACTCAAAGCTAATTTTGAAAAAACATGTTCTGCTAAAGCTATTGTTATCTGTGTTTCATTGCTGAGTGTTCCACAGCTTTTCCGCTCCAAATCTTTGATAAAAGTCATAGAAGCTGAAAACAAACAAAAAACAATTCTATAACATAATTATAATTAAGACAAATACCTGAGTTCTAGAGTAGTCAGTTCATCTGTATTAGTGCACGTGGTAGTGGGAACAATAGTGCAATATGTTATACAACTCCTATAAATATAGCAGCATTTTGTTGGACCTGTTCTTAGCAACTTTCCACTAACTTCTACAGACAGCTGTAAAATCAATTTATTTTTTATATCCAAAATTTCGAAATTTGTCTACTTCCTATGTGTTCTTTTACAAGCTCAATCCCTGAGTTACAATTTCACATAGTTTCTGCTTAATCTCACAAGAAGAATACGAATAAGGTTGAAATACAATTTATTTACAAACATGGATGATCGCACATTCATGTCTCAAAATGACTACATAGAAGAGGTTGAAAATGTGTTTTGTCAAGATGGCTGCCATGGTGGCCATCTTTGATTTCTGACCAACCCAAAAAATAACATCTGCTAAAAGAATTATCACAGGATCATTCCTGGCAATGTTCAAATCAATTATACAGTCAGGATTGAGCATGTCCGTCTGTGCAAAGGTGTTTGTAATTCTGACATATATCATTAATAAAATAAGGGTATTAGATAATGATAACGACAATAACATGTTTTTTGTCATGATGTGCAATTTTTTCAACACTTTAAACTTAAGCACAAGTATTTTGCACAGAAGTACAAAGGAATTTCACACAACTTGTCACAAGTTCAAATATTCTTTGCACTTATTTGACTTCAGTGTAAATCTTTTGTACTAAAGTTGAAAAGGCACATTGCCATTGGCAAAACATGTTTACACTTTAAGTGCATTTAGGTGTTTTTTTCAGTAGTTTCGATTAATAAAACAGCTGCCAATAATGTGATGTGCTGTGTTTTAACTGTAAGCCTGTTCTGCCCATGGCTACAATCTGCGTCAAGATAAAGATAAAGTTAGCAGTGCTCTGCCCCCGGGTAAAACAGAAATGACTTGGGTTACCGGTATCCGTTATGAAGGTGAAAAGTCTTGCAAGTAAAATTCTCGATATATCGTCCTGGGAATCAGCATGACTTGGATGTTTTAAACAATTATATAACATATCTGTCCCTTTTGTAAAAACTGAATAAAACGGGAAGAATTCTTCCTGGAGAGTTTCTGTCTCGCAGAACGCATCAGAAAATCGTACTCCGAAGCCTGTACAGCCGTTACATGATATCATTTTCAGGAAGAATAATGCGTTAAAGCTGCCCTCAGATAATGACTTAATCGCTTTTTGAACAAGTGGTAGATTGTCTCCCAATCTTCCAATTAAATTGTCGATGATGGCATGTCTTTTATGTTTCTTTAGAGGTGGTGGGTCGACCAAGACGGCAGCAGCCATTTTTGAGTTGTGTATATAATGACAGACAGGGACAAATCGGAGCACCCAAGACCGAATGCATCTATTTTGGGCAACATATGATCCCTCTAACCACCGGGTATTATACGTAAGTATACCGGCAAAGACGATTCCGCCGAGGAATAAAATTCAGTTATAAATTGCTACCAGAGACGTATGATATATATTGCAACTGAAAGCTTGACTTAGTAGATGTAGATATTATTTAAAGTAAATTAAATCAGAGACGTATAACAGTGTTCTACGTCTCTGATTAAATGTTTACGAATTCTCAAAAAATCGTATGAAAAGCATACGGAACCCAGTGATAGTTTAAGTATACAACACAGACACAGGCACAATATGCATTATACATAATTATAAAAACATATTATACATAACGACAGTTAAAAACTAAAAAGATAGGAAGTGAACTTGGGGAGGAGGGGGGGGGGGGGGGGGGGGGGGGGATTGAAAGTGGTATTATGTTGAGAAGATCTACAAGGATGAGTTTCAATGCATTTCATGAGATTTATGAAACGAGCCTCTGGCGAGCTAAAATGAAAAATTCGTGACATCCATTTGATGTCATAACCTGAAACAGGTATAAAGGTGTGTCTTAAGGGCCTCCTGCTGTCAGCACTGGACACAGATGTACGTGTTTTAACTTAAAAGTGTTATTTACCGGCTGTACACAAATTTCACACCGAAGTAGCTATAGGCTAAGGGCTTGGATCGAGATGATTTTCATTATTGAACCAATATGTTAAATTATAACTTGTATATATTATATGGAGAATTCCGTCCATTACTGGCGCCATGGATTGAGATGGTTTTCTGTTGGTTTTTCAACATATTGATCTTATTGTATTTTAATGCGGTACAATATTTCTAGAGTTCAATCACTATGTGTACAATGTAGTTGTATATTACGATTATACATAATCTACTCGAAAACAAGAGGAAAGCACCTTTACAATGTATTTGATCTCTCCAGATGTAATTTAAATATAGGTATTGGTTTAATTATTGTTGACTAGATATATGAGTACATTGTATATTCTATAATTATTTGATTTAAACGGCTATGGCTGCATTGATTGTAAAATAAAAGTTGCAAACAAAATTACACAATGCGAATATTTTAGTTAAACGCAGTATGCCCAAGCCTCAATAGAAACGTATGGACACATTGATGTGCGACGACATTGGGTTCAAACGTCATATTATTTAACGTTACATTGTACAGTGTGTACACGACGCCATTTAAAAATAATATACATTTCACGTCAATTTTACATATAATAAGATAATGATATATGATGCCATATATTTTCAGAAACTGCTTTATTATTACAAAAAATACATAATTATTATTGTGCATGAAAACATGAAATTTGATTTGCCATAAGGACCCCTCTCCTTGGCGCGCCTTATATATTCGGAGCGATCCGCTCCTTTTTCAAGACACAGTGAAACAGAACAGTTACATGTACATATACATCATATAACAAGAAGATATAACTGATATACTATAATTAAAAATATAGCTATTATATAAAACCAATAGTCCCCTCGAGAAGATGGGACTTTAACTCTGAACATCTGCGTTCAAAGACGATGTCATCTGAAATAATACGCCTGATGCGCAGAGCTTGGGAGTAGGGTATGCTTCTCGTGGTGTGCGAAGGGTGACAACCTTACCATCCATCAATCAGAGTGGAACTGGTGTCCAAAAATGTGTTGCTCTCCGTGGAGATATCCGCTGTGAATTTGATGGTGGCGTGGAACGCGTTAGCGTATTCAATAAACTCGTCAAGGGAGTCCCGACCCGATGTCCATTTGATTTCAACGTCATCGATATATCTCAACCAGCTAAATGGCTTAATTGGAGCAGATGTTAAAAGTTGGGCTTCAAGATGTCTCATGAAAACATTGGCATATGAGGGGGCCATCTTAGTACCCATGGCTGTACAGCTAACTTGTAAGTAGTTATCCTCATTGAATGTAAAGTTGTTAAGTGTGAGGACAAGTCTGAATAAATCCACCAGGCTATCAGTCGATGGGTGTTTGGTACTGCGCCGTTCCCATGCCTCGCGACAGGCTGCAATGCCTCCGTCATGCGGTATGTTAGTGTAGAGGGAAACGACGTCCATCGTAACTAACAAGGTACCTACTGGTAAGTTCTTAGCAGGTGTTTTGTTAAGATAGTCTGTGGTGTCTTTTAAAAAAGATGGTAAATGTTCCACGAATGGTCGGAGGTGGAAGTGCACAAACTGGGAAATTTTCTCCGTCGGGTGGTTGATCGAGTTAATGATGGGTCTACCAGGGTTCCCAGGTTTGTGAATTTTAGGAAGAAGATAAAACTTTCCTGCTTGAGGGTTTTCGGGGCGCAGGAATTTCGCGGTATCGTTGTCAATATCACCCTTCTCTAAAATTCTATTGATGGTATTATTAATCTGCTGTGCGTGTACGTGCGTCAGGTCACTATCGACCTTACGATAAAATGTCTCGTTGGAGAGTTGCCGATTAGCCTCTTGAATGTATATATATATCGAAATGACGATTTAAAAGTATCGAAACATCTTTAAAAACAAGTATCGAAGCTGTCACGGTTTATGAATTCATGAGCACTTCATGATTCTCAGTTTTGTGTGAAAAGACCTACAATGCAAAAGGAGCTCTGTTTTGGAAATTTTGAGTACGTTGTAGTTCATATTAGTTTTTGGTCAATATAATTATAAAAGGGTCACGATAAAGTTTTAATACCGGTTCCTCGATCTATTTTGATAAGTTGAACGTTGAGGAGGTGAAATTTTGTTTTCGTAATGCGACTTGTCTTTGCCGATATTTGTATTGATTGCTTTTAATCTGTTAAGGCTAATATATTACCACGGAATTAGATTAAGTCCGTGATATTCCTAACGTATTTTTATTTCCAGGAGTTTGTTCTAGTTCAGTCAGTCGTACAGGTATAATACTGTACATAAGGAACGCAAGGGAAAAGGTAAGCATCCAACACGGTGAAAGTTGCTAGATTGGAGGACTTATGATTGATATAAACACCAATGATGTTCTCAAAAATATTCTTTTCAAAATGGTGAACCACAGGGGCACGTTACAAATGTCTGAANACACGGTGAAAGTTGCTAGATTGGAGGACTTATGATTGATATAAACACCAATGATGTTCTCAAAAATATTCTTTTCAAAATGGTGAACATATCGGGACGATCAAAATTAAGTCTGAAATCATTTTTCCGATCTATATACACTGTACATGCAAGATCTGGTGTTGATTAAATACAGATCTAGTAGAAGCCACACGTGCTGGTGATGTCCAAGAAAAGCATAAAATGAGAGCTCAAAGCACGGAATTATATAAAGTCCGTGCTAAAATTCAGGCATCTATTTTTTTCATTATAGTGTAATAATTAAAACGCTATTAAAAAAAATCTTATTAGTATTTATAGTTTTCTTTAAAAGGGTTCCAATTTTGGGCACAATAATGTTAATAAAGACAGTGAAAAAGATAGTTGTTGTAAATCTCCTTTCTCATCGTATGATAGACGTGGTTGTTAGCATAAATACGTTAATTTACACAGTTATTTCCCTTGCATTAAATCTTCATTGAAAAAAATGTAATTTTAGTGTCAACTTCCGGTAAGCAGACAGCGACGATAAAAAGAAGAGTTGTCAAAAATGGAATAAGCCGGAGTTTCTAGCACACGTGTGTTGATCGCTACGGGCCATTTACACCAGTGTTTATCGTTTAATACCCGTGCAATTAATGAAACGCATAAGAATTGGGATATTTGCATGCAGCGTTAATTTGACCATCTGCAGATTAAGTTGATCAGTTCGGCCACGTTGACAGATAAAGAGCTCTTCGCCGGACAACAGGTTCGATTTTATCCTCGGGCTTCCAGCTTTTATTCATTTCAGCCACGCAATTGTTACGTGTCAAATCCTTTTCATTTTAAAATCCACTGACTTCACATTTCACAAGTAACGATCGAGTGTAATTAATTGTTTTGAGTGAACATTTCTAGTCGCCAAACCTTTCATTGATTTTTTTTCCCACATGTGCAGTTGTGACCTGTACAATATACCCAAGCTACAGTCTCAATTAATAAGCTTTTAAGTACGTTTTGATTGATGAATATTTTCTAGCTCCTTAATCCCTTTAATTCCCAGAAGAGGAGCTACCCGACCGACAGGAGCTATGAGGGTGCTACGATACAGAAGAGGAGCAATTATCAAGCTTGGAATCGTCACACTGATCGCTCTCATCATTGTTCCAATTTTCTTCCTAAAACTTGATGGAAGCAAAGATTCTAAATCAAAGAAAGATAAGGTAGGATTTAAATTATTTCTATAGTTTCTCCTGTCCTACAACAAACATTCTTTTCAGTGTTTTCACATTTATTATTTGTACTGAAAAGGTTTGAAAACTAAATAAAAGAAAACTTTCAGCTAGCTGGTACCATTATATTAATGTATTAATGTATTTTCCTTATAGAAAATTAATCATCGAATTGATGAAAATGAAAGAAGAAAGAAGAGAATTTGAACTCTCAAATAAAACTGTACAGCAAAACAAAGACTCATATCCTGCTATATGACACTGTTGTCAACTATTACCCAAACTTCATTCTTACATTAGAACAAATAATCGTAGCAAGTTTTCATCTGTCTGGTTTCAGATGTATGGTGTATTAATGTGTCAACTGTCATTTTGACAATTAAAATATAAGTGCAATAACAGGATGCTCTAGTAAACAACTGGCTTCTGTTGTATTTGTTTGATTATTTTGTCAATATTCTCTTACAATATTTGGTTTTATTCAGAAATATATAACAAATTCTTATAATGTAGATCAGCAGAGGTGAGATGTTATTTGTGGTAATCGATTATGCATATATATTAAGCAGTGATATTTTGCACCTGGTCTGTGCATTTTATCATACCATGGGACATTTTTTCCAGAATTTCCACATAAATGGGTAAATATGTATATTTTCATTAAACTTAACGATACACAATAGAAAATCATTTAATGCATTATAATGCTCAATTTTTTTATTTTTTTTGTGAAAATAAAAATACTGTGAAGATGATCATGACGTTTTGATTTTCCCCTCACAAAAAATATCTAGGAAAATACTAATCTTACTGCATATATATAGGTCTCTTGGTATGTGAACCAGAAAAGACAGGGCTCATAATGACACTGGTTGCATTGCATTATATTAGTGCCCTATGAATTATGTTGGAACTTGCAGCGCAAATTTATACTACATATTATATAAATAAGCTACATGTTTATAGTTTTAACTAATGACACCTATACATGGTTATAAGATTAATGATAAAACGCTTGTAGATAATTAAGGAAGATTAATTGTTGTTCTGCATAATAACATGAACATGTACATTATAGTGATCATTAGGGTAAGGTGTCTGTCATGAGCAGACCCCAGAGGCTATATATATACACATGCATAACATAAAGTTTTATTATGTTTTTTATGTTTGATATGAACAAGATTCCGATAGATGTTTGTTATGTATATATCATTTTGAACAGCTATATATAACTATGACTGAAGGAAATATATTCGGAACTTTTATGTTATAACTATGATATCTTCTGTACAGAAATCTTAACCAACATCATAATAATAAATAATACTGTAGTGATAAGTATATATATATATGTATCTAAGGTCAAAGTCAAATATCCAGTGTATATGCATATATCATGGAGAATTGATAATAATTAAGAATAATTCTGTGGACGAAACTCATCAACTGATTGATTATATTTGATGATATGGAATTATCTGTACTGAAATATGAAACTTTTGATAACACCTGATAAGTAGATGTCTTTGAAAAAATATGTAATGTATAATGAGTGTAGATTTTCCATATAAAAAAATATATAAAAAAATGCAGCTCTATACAAGTGACTATATAGTATTATGAATTGTTCAAATTTTGTAAAAAAACACAAAAAAAAGTAACAAAACTAATTAATTAGAATGTTTTACAAACATGATTTAATATTGTATAGCACCGAATACTGAGTTAATCCCTAGAAAAATAAGAACTTTGCCTTGAAATTTTGATTCAGAGGCATATAAGGCTGACATAAGACAGGGGTGGATCCATGGCCATCTTAACTTTTAATAGACATAAGATATAATTCTTTGAGTGAATACTCATTAAAATAGTCACGTTACAAGTGTCATATCTGGTAATAAGCCCACCCCCTGCTTTTGACATTTTCATACACAGACCGCCTGGGCTTATCACCGGTCTTGGTGAATGTACACAGGAAATTGCTGTAACTTACAGTTAATTGACTAGTTAAAGCTACATGTAAAATATAGACCATTCAATTTTTACCACAATCAAAGACGATCATGCAGGCCTGTCATTTTTATCATAAAGGTTTATCTATAATCCTTTATATCAAACCACACAATGTCAAATTTATATATTATATGTCACACATGTTACACCATTGTGTGTGGACTACGCTTTCAATACCCTATAAAGTTACAATTATTGATTACTTACACTGTAGATATGAAGTACCAGGTACTTCTGCCAGCCTGTAAAATTCATCCTAGACTTACAGGATTAACCATCGCCTAAATAGGAAAATCCATGTTAACTAACACATGGTATACATACATGTACTTGACAATCATAAAAGATTTTGTAAACAAAAAGTCTTCCAATTATATTTGATCTTTTTGTATTTTTTTCTTTGTATGTAGAATCTGTAGCAACATATGTTATACCAAAAAACAGCTGCAAGTCAACTACTTATTTACTCCCAAGACAAAAGCCTATCATACAGTGTGCATCTTGTCTAAATTAAAGATTTTATCAAATAATCATCATAGATACATATCCTATTGATTCATATATTAAGAGTCTACGTATACCTGAAAGTTCACCGAATGATTATGTTAAATATGATATATCGTATTGACGTCAAAAAGGACCATGAACTGTTGTCACAGACTGTCAGTTCATATTTATAATGTCATATATAGATTGGACACAATATCATTAAGTATTAGTGCCAAGATGACAGAATTGAGTATTTTAATTACGCTTCAAGAATCTGACCCGAAAAAACATGTTTTTCATATAACATCTCATGATGTGTCATGTGAAAAAATGATGTTTCCATTTCATATAGGATCACTGATACTTACATAATATTTTGTTATTATTTTAGCTCGTTGGAGGCTTATAAATAATGCATTCATTCTGAGATTGGTTTGGTTTGGTTTAATTTTGTTTAAAGTTTTGTTTAACAGCTAAGACTTAAAATTGTTGTATAAATCTCTATGGCAAATGCATGTGACAGTATAGGATCTACAAGTGTATGTGTATATTATTCAAAAAGATTTGAAGCCCAAGAGTTAAGAGAGGTCATTTAGATTATTTAAAACCCCCGTATTTATTGTTCTTGTACTTGAACATACATTGTATGTTTCAATATGACCTTGTTTGAAATGACAGGAGCTGCGGTGGCCAAGTGGTTAAGGTGTCTGGCAATTTCTGCTACCACTAGCCATCCACCCTTCGGTAACGGGTTCGAGGCCTACGTTGGGCAATCACCAGGTACTGGCAGTAGGTCGGTGGTTTTTCTTTGGGAACTCCAGCTTTCCGGCACCACCAAAACCTGGCACATCCTCAAATGTGCTGTTTAAAGGACATTGAACACAAACAAGCAAAATTGAAATGACAATCAGGTCGGATCAAGCATTTTTTAAGAGACGTTGACAGAGCCAGAAGCCTTCAGAAAGAGGGCAGACTTCTGAGAAAACTTGTTTCTGAGATAGTTACATTGTACATGTATTAACACACATGTCTATAGATACAATGTACATGTAATACATTTTGTACATTTCTTTATATAAATTTGCATGAACAAGAGTTTAACTGTCTGGTTAAAGCTAACAATGCTAGTTAAAAAGCTTTCAAATGAGATTTTATAAGAAAGATTTTTTTCTTCTGGATTTGAGATGTTCCCCACCTGCCAGAGGCTTTCTCTTCTGCTGTCTTATCCAAGGAAGCAACAACATTTTAGAATATACTTGCTTGGTAACGAGTGGGGGGTCTCCCTGGGTACAAAAATCGCTTTACCAGTCAAACCGATTATCATTTTTCAACATGTGAGCAAGGTAACACTACTATACTATATAAATGGAGCACTTTAACAAATTGTAACCTTTTTTTTTATCGGACTAGTTAAATAAAATGCAAAACATCAGAAAAAATATTAAGTGGAAATACAGCTGTATCAACAAAATACAACCAATTAAAATATCCAATGCACAATCCCAGAAACACCCCCCCTCCCCAACAGCCCTGAAATAAATAAACATGGCTTTAAGTTTTATGCTAGTAGCATCCTTATGTGGAAATTGTAGCTCACAAAATTTTACTTATTGGACCATCGCTATGTTCGAATGCACAATGTATGTAAAATTTACGTTTCAAAAATGATCAGAGCTTGCACTTTGAGCTATTGGTTCTCCCAGGTACAGCTCTACACCTAAATATGCCACTATCAATTATTATCTGTTGCCACCAGGCAAGAAAAATTCCCTATAAGTATGAATAATATACAACATTTATATATATAGCACTCTACATGTACATATAATGCAAAATTACTCTAAGGCGCTTTACATCACATGAATAATAGTATTCCGACAGTGACAGATATAAATATAGTAGATAAAAAAAGCATACAAAATAGGTCTAGACTTGTCTCTACCATGTTACCTTCAGATAAGGATGACTCACAGAGCTTAACCTGGTGAATCTGTCATCATACATAATGTTCCCACCTGAGGCTCTTTCGATGTTTAACTCAGATATTAATTCAACTTCCAATATTTTAAATGTAAAAACTTACTCCATTTTACAACAATTATGAATAAAGTTTTCTAACGTGTGTTAAAAAAATCAAATCGCTCTTGTTGGCCAGGATGGAATCGCATAATGCATGGGTCTTACATATGATGTGGGAGGAAATCGGGGTACCCGGAGAAAACCCATATGGTCGGAGTAGTTGACTCCATACCTTTTCACAACTGATATGGGAATCGAATCCCAGCCGTCTTGGTGAAAGGCTAATGTGTTATCCACCGTACATGTACTACCCAACCTGCCAAAAATTTATGGTCAACAGTATACAATTGTTTCATGGCTATTTGGGGAACAGTCAAAACTATCATCCCGAGGTAGGGGGAAGCCCTGGGGAACTGTTTGCCCGAGGCCGCTAGGCCAAGGGCAAACAGTTCCACAGGGCTTCCCCCTACCGAGGGATGATAGTTTTGACTGTTCCCAAAATAACCATGAAACAATTGTTTTATTACCAAATAAATATTAGTATCAATGCTGCATGCAATGTTGCCATTGCTTCAACACTGAGTCGCGGTCACCGAAACGCTTGAACGGGGCTCTCGAGGGGGGATTTCTGCGCATCAAATTCGCGCCGGGTAACAGTTCACTCTGACCGGGAAAACAGTTTTGACTGTTTCATCCCTACAGGCGAAATTGGACAAAAGGCCAGAAACAGTCAAAAATGACTAATTATGATTTATATAGACTATTGGGTAATAATACAAATTGTGGATCTTCATGTATATAGTTGATTAAGGAATGGTGTATTAGTTAGCCAGCTTGCATTGGACCTCAGAACAATGAATAGTTTTTTTTTTTTTTTTTTTTTTGTCTTTGCAGTACACAGACAATAGATCATTTGTCATGTCAGCACCTCGGTTTATGTTATATGCTTGGTAGTGAAATAAAATATAAATCATGGAGAAGTAGGGGAAACGCTTTTACAAGTTTTGGGGAAGTCACCACATTTTTTTAAAGAAAACTAAATTCATACCATATCTATATTTAAACATAATACGCCAGCACTACGTACATGTATGATCATTCAATTAGCATATATTTTCCCGCAATACCATTGCAAGCTTTTAAAATGAGTTTGAAGCTAGTAGTTACAACAGTAACACACTTGGCAACTCTCTCGATTTTGGGCCCTAATATTGAGCCTTTTCAACCAGTGAATTCAATGAAATATTTCTATTTTCTAAGAACTGATGATTTTATCTGAAAAAACACCTAAAAAATGCCATTTAAAAGTGACATTTTCCCCTTAGGGTGTATATAGATGCATTTAATTAATGTTTTTTTTTATTTAGAGCACATGCATCCGTAATCTCCCTAATAGAAGTTTTAAAAAAAATGGCAAAATGTTTATGCAGTAAACTACATCACACATATTTGTAGTCCTTACTTCATAATGTTTTCTTGTCTTCTGTTTATAAGATTAATGTCTGCAGAATTTCAATAAATTGTAACATTGGTAACATTCCATTAGAATTTCTTTATCGTCACCAGTCATTTTAATTATGTAACTCTTGATTCAAATCACTGGTTATACACAACATTTTAAATGAATTTGCAATTGAATCAATATTAAGGTACATGTAAAAAACACAGGCATTCAAATGACACATTTCAAGTTATTGTATACATGCCATATCTAACGATTTGAGCACAAATTTCAATCGGTCTCAAGAAAAGAAACAAAGTTTGGTTAATCTTAGTGAATAAACAAAAGCTACCTGGATTTACACCGACCTTGGTAATAAATATATTAATACAGGTTACCTATGACAATACATAACCTGTGTTACAGCTGTATGTGGAAACTCAAGACATTTAGTTAGCATAACACATTCATTTCACTATACATGCATACCAAATGACTAATGTTACGTAAATTTTACTGTGGCACTATGTCAAACAGCTGAGTCATAGTTCTGAAGACAAATCTGATGTGATCAAAAGTCCTATGATAATTACGATACCCTATTACACCAATGTGTTTTACATATAAATGATCAGTGATAGTCATTACTGATAAACTACCCACATACAGAACCATAAACAAGCCGGAAGTTTTAATAATTTTATTTTCACAATTTGTTTTCACAATTCGTCGTCTTCAAAGTATTGAAAATATATATTTAACTACAGTAAAACCCTGTTGTAATGCCACCCGCTAAACCGCCAAACCCGCACACCACCATTAATTTACTCAGAACGGATTTCCCCAATGTTAATGCCCCCGTTGTAACGCCAAATCCGCCTACCACCATGCATCCTCAATCATATTCCCAAAACAAATGGTTAAAATCACACTATTTTGACCTCGTTAAACACCGCCAGTTTGAGTCGAGTACAGGTATATCCCGATGGCAGCAATGTTACGTAGTGTGTTGTATACATAATCAGATGTATGTTTTGCATGCTCAACAATTTTATATATTAAATTACAATTTAAAAAACCCGTACTCTGAGTAGATTATTATTGTTCAGTTGGTGTATAAACACTTTTTTTTTTGTAAAGCTGTAAATTAAACATGATACACCGCAAAACTCGTTATACTGCCAAAATCACAGAGGACAGAAAGTCGCGGGACAACAAGTTTTACTGTACATGTGCCAGAGATAACACTTAAGTCTATACTCATAGCTATGGTAAAGGAATGTGTACAAAAAAAAAGTTACAAAGATCAAGGTCCCTTGCAATTTTACTGATGTATATATGATATCTATGGATGTTGCATAATAAATCCTCACGAAATCGAGGCATGTTCAGAATGGTATGATCTTCTCAGATGAGATTTGTTTTTGATCTGTGACCATACAAATCTATGATTCAATCTTCCATTGAAATCTAGATTGTTTACTTCTCAGAAATGATGATAACTCTAGATTTGTAAGGGTGTTACAAAACAAGTGGTCATGTTTAGAAAAGAATCAATGTTATAACACAGCAGTATTAGCCTATTATTCCTTTGCATTGTATTTTTAGCTTGCCAAGGATTCGAACCCTATTCACAAAGTAGCGAAATCTCCAGATGCTGCTGAGGAAGCCCCGAAAAATGTTGTTGACAACCCGGTAGAATCTAACAAAGCACAAGAGGAAGTGGTGCAGGTGGAAGTGGCCCACCAGTTTGGCCCTCCGCAGCGCCTCACTCCGGGGCAGTTAGGAAACTTTGAACCAAGAGACTACCCCTCCAGGAATGGACCAGGTATGCATGAACAACAAATCTAATAGCTAGCTTAATACACAACCCTTGGTTGCATTAGAGTTTCATCTTTTTATTGAGCTATGTATATAATATATACAACAAAACACAAAGACTACATTTCACTAGCACTTTCGCCCATCTTGGAGGTCTTCAGGCGACTTGAATATATTTATGATGTCATAAATGGAGTACACATACTTAAGGCGTCAAAAATAATGACTTCATAAACAAAGTACACATTATGTGGATTTCTAGAAATTTGTGATGTCTTAAAATGATTATTTGTGATGTCATACATGTGATACGGGACGAAGACTTGTGTGATACGGGACGAAGGCTTGGATGTATACAAAACAAATGACAAGAGTTTCTGAGTACCTCCCTAGGGCTTTCACATCTTTAGAGGTTCATCAGGTGAAAAGAGGTGAAAGACCAAGGGAGGTACTAAGATTTTCTTGTCATTTTTTTTTATATAGATACAGTGTATAGACTTGCATAATATATTTGTATATATGTAATCTTTCATGTTGCTAAGGCCATGAAGTATTGGCGGATCTCGGTTTTAATTGGACTAGGAACAGGGGTATACCACTCCTCTAGTCCATCGCCCAGGACTACCAGATTTTGGGTTTGTGCTTGGGTATGACCAACTTGATGTTTTTAACATTAAAATGGTCAGTCCATGGTTAATAAAATGGAGGAGATCGTAGATGTCGTGTAGTGGAATATCTCTAGAGATTGTACATATATCAGAATGACTGTTTCCCTGACTGTGCAAAAAAGTGAAAACAGTCAGATCATGTAATAAGAAAATGGAGGGTGGGGGTGGGGGATGGAGGGGTGGGTGGGTGTTATACTGTGTATATAGTGCATGCAGTTTTATCGGTATTGTTGTGTCTATGGTACTATATCCATGTGTACCTATAATTAGGTGAGAATGGTCAGGCTGTGTACACTACAATGGAGGAGAGGACTCGGGCAGACTCCTCCACCAGAGAGTTTGGATTTAACATGGTCAACAGTGATAAGATAGCCATGGACCGAACCATACCGGACACCAGACTTGATGAGTAAGTCCTGTGATAAACACTCCTCAGGTTCTCTTATTTCTGATACATGTTTGTAGCTTTGTATAAATATTGAAATCCTCTTATAAAGACAAACTACGGCCATGAAGGCCCCAAGATTACTAAATTTTCTGTAGTATGCAAAATGTAGCAGCTTGCAGTCACATTCTGAAGAACAGAAAAAATTTGAAGTTAATAAAATCAATGTACAGAAGTTACACAACTTTATTACAACAATTCCCTGAATCCTGTTGTATAAATCACTGTATATGATATCATTTAAATATTTAGATGTAAGTACTGGCAATATCCCGAGGACCTGCCCACAGCCAGTGTGATTCTAGTGTTCCACAATGAAGGCTGGTCCACACTCATGAGGACAGTTCACAGTGTCATCAATATGTCTCCCCCTCACCTACTGAAGGAAGTCGTCATGGTGGACGACTACAGCTCCAAGGGTAAGTCACAAGATTTCAAGATATCAAGATTTTTATTTCACTCGGACACACATAATATGTGTAACAAGAGGTCATGTATATATAACATAGTTTGAGGGCATGACAGGCAAACATTCTATATCATAGCATAGTACATAATAATATATATACGTGTAGTTACATACAAATAATTCAGTGTTCAACTCATATAAAATGTCACTAGCAGACAAAAAAAACCTTATAGAATAGAGACACTAAAGTACTTTAGTTAATTTTTGAACAAATAAGCTTACACTTTTTTACAATTTCATATTAAAGATTGTGAATATTCCTTTCATTTTATGTTGGTTTGGACTTGTATAAAAATAGGCCGGAATATGTTTTTCCCTTATTTTGACTTAAGTGTCGTTATTACAAGTATATAAGTAATGAAACTCGTCCCCAATACCAGTATTACAAAGTGGGCATATTCTGTCCTGTCTTTGAATTCCCACCCATCTTCCTGTTTCTACTGGAAGCTTAATATTTGAAGTTCTAAATTTGCAGATAATTTTCCTATCTTTTGCGTTTAATCTTATCAAATAGTCTTCTAAACCAAAGCGATATTTAAATGTAGAGTACAATCGTCCTCTGGATGAGGTGTCAATTTTATTACCAGGATTGAATAAACTGGTCATGTAATTTATGTATAATTGCAGCTTTTAAATAAGCAATATCAGGCAGACAGGTTTTTTGATGGATCCAAACAAAGCTTAGACCTACGCTATCTAGGATATGTTTAATATAATTCAACCATTTAATCTCGATTTGTCCATTTTCATGTAATGAGTACATCAATTTGTTCATACGACTAGACAACTTATTTTCACTCGAGGTAACTGTTTACCAAAATTTGATCATTCTTAATTTGACATCAACCTCAATAGGGTATCTGCCCGTTTCTCCATATACCATAAAATTACAAGTATTTCTACGTAGACCAAGAACTCGTTTACAGAATTGGAGGTGTTTTTTTCAAGTATACTAACATCCTCATAGCCCCATATTTCTGATGAGTATAGCAAAATTGAAGCAACTAGCGAGTCAAACAATTTTAATTGTAAATCAATGGGTAACATAACATTTCTTTTTATACGCCCGTCGAAGACGGGGACGTATTATGTTATCACGTGAGCGGGCGGGCGGTCGGGCGGGCGAGCGGGCGGGCGGGCGAACGAACGATGTCCGCTCGATATCTCGAGTAATTATTAACAGATTAACTTCAAACTTCACAACAAGGTTAATTACCATGAAACCTCGGACAAGTTCGATAACCGCCATTATCCGACCATAATTTGTGGAGTTATGCCCCTTTATGGACTTGCCGAAACATATATTTCAATCATACAAACAACTGCTCATTCAATGTGTGACGGGCGTATTATATACCGCTCGCGGTAACCTTGTTTTCTTATATACGGCATATAGCGCTTTTTGGGCCTGTTCCTCTAATTGCTTTTTTGCCACTACAAACCTTCCATTATAGTAAAATAGAACACCTAAGTATGGAAAAGAATCTTGAATGTCTAGCTCATTATCATGTAATAGAAATCGATATCTATTAGTATTCTTTCGTTTAGAAAAGATGACAATTTTTGTCTTCTGTGTGTTTACCGTTAGTTTCCAATTCTCACAATAATCCTGAAATTTATTTTGCATTGATTGTAGACCATCTGCTGTCTCTGATCACATTAACACTGTATCGTCAGCATATAAAATAACAAAAAGTTTTACGTACATACCAATATGATCATGACAAAGTTCATCAATCTTCAGTAAACAATCAACATTTTTTTCCAATAAATAGTCTTCTAAATCATTTAAAAATAATGCAAATAAAAAAGGGGAGCAATTTTCCCCTTGTTTTAGTCCGACATCGGAAGTGAACATTTCTGACATTTCATTCCCATTTCTCACACAAGATTTCGTATCAGAATACATGTTAATTAAAACTTTAAATATTTTACCAGTTATGTTACATTTGAGTAGTTTTTGCCACAAGCCTATTCGCCACACCGAATCCAAGGCTTTTCTAAAGTCAATGAATGCACAATATAGTTTTCTACCGGAGGATCAATATAACGTTGTCAAAACGTGTAAAATAAAAATGTTGTCTAGTGTTGAGTGACCTTTTCTGAAACCTGCCTGTGCGTTACTTATGAGTTCAATTTCATCAGATAGTTTGTATAATCTTGCATTTAAAATCGACGTCAAAACTTTTCCCAAGCACGAGACTAACGTAATAGCCCTGTAATTATCCAACTTTTTGCGATCACCTTTGTTCTTATAGATTGGATTGATTATTCCTGTACTCCAACTTTTCGGTATTATACCAGTGTCCAATATTATATTAAACATATCAATATATACAGGTAAGATTGTGTCAACCGTACTCTTTATGTACTCATTGACTATATCATCAATACCACAAGCTTTGTTATTATTCAAATGTTTTATAGCATGAACAATCTCATCAGTAGTAATTCTATCATTCAAAATATTATCATACCAACATTCATTTACAAGTGGAGTTTCGAATTCCTCCTCTGTTTCATTATTAAGATTCAATTTTTAAAAATAATCATGTAGTTCGTCTATTGTCAGATAAACTTTACGGCGACCTTTAGGCTTATCAATTCTATTCAAAATGTCCCAGAAGGCTTTTGGTTTAAATTTGGAAGCTTTCCTCATTTCATGTTCAATATTTTCTTGGAACTTTTTATAGTTACTATTAATGAGTTTTCTGTACTCTATCTTTTTTGTGTTATTTTTTTTTCCGATTTCTTTGGCTTTTAAAGTTTTTGTAATCTCTCTTAGATTCATGAAATTCTTTTCTTTTCATAACACATTCACGGGTAGACCAGGTTTTGTCCTCTTTGCCGAATTGGTGAATACTTTTTTCCCATTGTGCACTTTTTTTGTTCCAAAAACTTTTCTTGATGAGTTCAAAAACAATTCAGCAATGTTATTTACTTAATCGTTTCCATCGTCTCGCGATATAATCTCAATTGGAGACTCGTGTATATTTTTTAATATTTTAATTAATTTCGTGTAATTTGCATCTCTCGTCCATATGTACTGTAGTTACGAAATCAGTTTGTTTTTCGTTTACCCATTTACCGATTCTCTCAGTAAGATGAACCGGTTCCTCGTTTTTGTATACTGTTTCAGAATATTGAATAGTAAATTTTAGTCTAAAGTGCACGTCTGAAATCAAAGGATCAAAGTCTAAAACTTCAAAGTGACACAAGAGAGGAAAAACATTGGACGATACAATCAAATAGTCAACTAAGCTCACATATTTACAAGTATTCTTACCAATGAATCTATCATTGCCGACTCCACCGTTTGCAATGTATGAATTATTATTTTTACAAAAATCAAGCAGATTACGACCAAATGTATTTTTTGTGTTAGGTCTGTTTTTAGCTACATAATCATAGCCATTTGGCATTTTAAGAATGTCCAGATCGTCAGTTTTAGTTTCAGCTAATATAACGACGTCGTGAGACTTCACAATATCAGAGAATTCTGGTAACAGGATTTTAGACCTGACACCACAAATGTTAATAAATGTGAATTTTAAGTCCTGTACCTCCTGACCTCTTGTGACGTGATCCTAGTGGTGCTCATTGTTCCGTCCCGGGGGTAGGGCTCCGTTGGGCGGGTTCCTTAGGGGTGGGGCTCTATAGGGTTCCCCGTATAACGTGTCGTAACTGAGGGTAGCCCTATTGCTACGGCACTTCTGTTCCCTCATTATTGGGTACAAAACGGCTCGTCTTTGGGCAATTTCAGGACGGTATTGCCGCTGAACACTGAACTCCGATTTATCTCGCAGCTTGATAGGAGCTTCTTTGAGGACTCGTTCCAAGTCATTGAAGTTGGCAAATTTGGCAATTATGTTACGAGGCTTGCCGTCACGTGGCTGTCTCAGGCGGTGAACGTTGTCGAATGATATGCCGTCAGCATTATCTACTTGCATTTGATCCTGAATAAATGATCTAAGAACAGTTTAAGTGTTTTCAGTATGACCCTCATTATCCGGAATTTCCGAGAACAGCAGGTTATATTTCATAGAATGCGTCTTTAGTTTCAGGAAATTTTCTCCATAGAGCAAACACGTTCCTCTAACTTGTAGTGGTGCTCCTCCTGTTTATCATTTACACCTTTGTTCTGTTCCGCTATTTGTCGCACCTCTATTATTTCTTGCTGGAGGTTTCTGATACATTTTTCAAAATTGTTCACTTTTTCATTTATTTGATCAAGTAGGTCTAGTTTTGGCAGGATTTGGTCCAGCTGTGCAAGTCTCCCATTAAGATCATTCATTATATGCATTACTTGTGGAGGATGTGAGAGAATCAGTCAGGTCATAGCTTCGTCATATGTAAATTAGTCAGATTACAAGTAAACCAACTTTATCCCAATAAAATAAAAACTAAATATATGATTACAAGTATAGATGTCCCCTCCAATATTGGTTATAAATTACCAATCAGGTGATATGTAAATTAATAAGGTTATAATAAGTTCTGATGTATATTCAATCTGTATTTCATGTATAACTAAATGTACTCTATATATATATATATATATATAGATCACATTTGATCAGATAAGTTGTTCAAAAACATGTATCACATGTAAATCTGTGTTAACAGAAATTACATTTTCATCTGGGAGGCTAATGAATGCAGTTTGTATCAAATCAAGTGTAATGAAACATTTATTTGACAAATTGCATAAGAGAAATATTGACTTTGATGTTGTTTACTTTGTTAAGATCATCTGAAAGGGAGGCTGGAGGAGTACATAAAACAGTTTAATGGTAAAGTGAAACTGTACAGGAACCCGGAGCGCCTCGGACTGATCGGCACCAGAACCCGAGGAGCCGAATTGTCCACGGGCGACGTCATTGTCTTCTTGGACGCCCATTGTGAATGTAACAGAAATTGGTTACCTCCCCTTTTAGCACGGATCCGGTATGACAGGTAGGTGACCAATTGAATCATCACCATTGTTAGGATTCTGTTTGGCAGAGATGTCAGAAGTTATGACTGAAGCATTTTACAGATCTTTTGTTTTTCTTATGACCCTGAGTCATGTTGACAGATGTTCAATGTCACAATAATATAAAATCCTTTTCTGAACTTGAATAAAATTTTCTCGTTTAGGGGTACTTGTGTAACAGTCCCAGTTACAGTAATTACGTGTCTAAAATGAAATCCAACAATACAATTAATTTTGCAAAACTGACTTTTCATTCGGAAACTTAATGTATGGAATTTTCTATGAAAGCACATAAACCACATAACATTAAAGTGCCTCCTTTTGAGGATTGTCTTCTAACTGCAACTGCAGATAGAAACCAGAACTTTGATAATTACCTTTTGTTGATCTGTTGTTTATAAGTTTAGGTGTCGATTTTAGATCTGTTTTATCTTGCTGATCAGACAGACATTTACGGAGTGTATGATAACTTGAAAGACAAAAAATTGTTAGGTTGAACATTGTTGGTTACACATTGTTGTATTGACAGGACCATTATGGCTGTGCCCATTGTTGATGGCGTGGACTGGGACAACTTCCGCTACCACCCGGTGTACGGAGAGGCACACCACCGTGGAATATTTGAGTGGGGCTTCCTCTACAAGGAGAGTGCAGTACCAAAGAAGGAGCTGAGTCGCCGACAACATAACAGTGAACCATACAGGTAAAAAGTCACCATACAGGTAAAAAGTCATCAAACAGGTAAAAAGTCACCAAACAGGTACAGTCAAAATACAGGTAAACAGTCACCGTACAGGTCAACTGTCACCATACAGGTAAACAGTCACTATACAGGTAAACAGTCACCATGCAGGTAAACAGTTACCATACAGGTAAAAAGTCACCATACAGGTAAAAAGTCACCAAACAGGTAAAACGGTCTGCGTATAGTTAATGGGCGGCACCCAGATGACGATACTGGTACATATACATTTTTTAATAATAATGGTAAAAGCACGATTGATTACTTGTTGGTTGTAAATGCGACAATAGACAATATACTTAAGTTTGATTCTGGTAAATTTAACATGTTTTCTGATCACTGTCCAGTTGCGTTTCATATATGTATTGGCAAATTTTTAGATACTCAAATTGTAAATGAGTTGGCTGATTACAATGCCATGTACAGTAGAGGAACCTGTACGTCTGTGAAATGGAAAGGCGAGAATACTATGCTAATTTTAGATAAATTAAGTGAGAACTGTGAGTTAATTGATGAACAATTGAATGTTGATTTAAATAACCAAGATGCAGTTGATGAATGTGTGAATAATATAAGTAGAATATTAAATGATTGTACATTACCTTTTTGTGAGTGTAGAGATACCCCTCTGAGAAACTCCCGCGATCACCGCACTAAAACTGTTGTTATTGAAGATAAACCGTGGATAACTCCTCGGTGCAAAGATCTATATACTGAATACAGAAATTCGTTGATTAATTTTAACCGGGATAAATCAAATCAAAATTACAATATATTAATAACCGCCAAACGTAATTACAAAAGGTTGGTGTTTAAAATTAAAAGAGTTAAAAGAGATTATAAACGATATGAAGGCGACATGCTGGTCCTTTTGAAAAGAAATGATCCAAGAAAATTTTATAGTATCTTTAATAATCGGAAGTCGAACAGAGCTATGAATACACTCACAATAGATGACTTCTATAGACACTTTAAATATCTGGCGCAAAAGGAGAATGATGGTGCTGACCAACATGTTCCTAATGTTAATATAGAGTCAGTTTATGAAGATCTTGATTCTAATATCACAACAAAAGAAATTGTTAAAGCCATTGAAAACCTGAAATCAAACAAAAGTTGTAGTGAAGACTTAATCATAAACAAAAATTTTATTCAAGGAAAGCATATTCTGGTGCCATATTTGGAACGGTTGTTTAATGCTATTTTTAGATCTGGGTTTTTCCCTGAATCTTGGTCACAAGCATGTATTGTTCCTGTTTTTAAGAAAGGCTGTATTAACGACACTAATAATTATCGTGGTATATCACTTGTAAGCTGTTTTGGTAAATTATTTACATCAATCTTGAATAATAGAATTATGACATGGGAAAAAGAAAATTGTATAATAACAGATGCTCAGTTTGGTTTTAGAAAAGGCAGTTCAACCATTGACGCCATATTTGTTTTACAAACATTAATTAACAAGAAATTGCGTAAAAAAGAGAGACTTTACTGTTGCTTTATAGATTTAAAAAAAGCATTTGATTTTGTTAATAGAGGAAAACTGTGGAGTAAATTAATACACCAAGGTATTCGTGGAAAATTTTTAAAAATATTATTATCTTTGTATGATAATGTCAAATCCTGTGTAAAATTTGAGGGTCAATTAAGTCATTGTTTCCCTAATTATACCGGTCTCTTACAAGGGGAAATATTGTCACCTGTGTTGTTTTCTTTGTATGTGAATGATTTTGAAATTAATTTTATTAATGATAATTGTCCAAGTATTGATTTACAGATGCTTAACCTTTTCCTGCTAATGTATGCTGATGATATGGTTTTTTTCGCTGATAGTCCAGCTGCATTGCAAAACATGTTAGATTCTTTACACAGTTACTCTAGAAAATGGGATCTGGAAGTCAACATTGATAAAACAAAAGTCATGGTTTTTAGAAACGGGGGAAACATAAGAAATAATGAAGTGTGGAAATATAATAATGAGAACATAGAAATTGTTGACTGTTTCAAATATTTGGGAATGTTTTTTAATTATAATGGTAAATTTTATAAAACCCAAAAGCATTTAGCGGACCAAGGAAGAAAGGCTTTATTTTCATTATCATCCTCTTTAAAGAACCATTGTTTGAATTTGGAAACCCAATGCTCTGTCTTTGATATTTATGTCAGCAGCATCTTAAGCTATGGTGCAGAAATATGGGGGTTTCACAAAGCTCCTGATATAGAGAGAGTTCATTTGAATTTCTGCAAAAAAGTCCTTAGAGTATGTAAATCTACATTCAATGATTTAGTTTATTGTGAATTGGGTAGACTACCATTAATTGTTACAAGAAAGCTAAAAGTATTCAAATATTGGTTGAAGTTGACGAAATCTGATAATTTGATATTAAAAACTTGTTATGATGAATGTGTCAACGTGAATGATCCGTGGATTTGTAACATTAAGAATGAATTAACTGCCCTAGGTCTTGGTTATATTTTTGAATCGAATCTACCATTGGTAAACACTTTTGAAATTATTGAACACAGATTGAAAGATGTTACTAAGCAAAATATGTTGGCAAAGATAGCAGCTTCATCAAAAGGTAGACTATATCAATATCTTATAGACAGTCATAGTATTCAGTTTTATCTCCGTAAACATATTGAAACAAAATACAAATATATGTTAACTAAATTTAGAACGTCGTCTCATCAACTGAATATCGAAAAGGGTAGACACAATAATATCATTCGCAGAAATAGAAACTGTAGCAAATGTGATTTGGGAGACGTCGAGGACGAATTTCATTTCATTTTTGTATGTCCTTTTTATAATGATTTGAGGTTAAAGTATATAAAGAAGTATTATTATAAGAGTCCCTCTGTTTACAAACTTGTCCAACTTTTATCTGTAAATAATGTCAAAGAGTTGTCAAATCTAGGTAAATATTTATATCTAGCCACTAAGCGGCGAAATTGATTAATTAGCTACACGTATTTATAATTTTTGTGCTTTTGTATTATGTTCTTTGTTTAGTTTGCACTTGTATGCTTATAGTCACTCTCCTATAACATATATACATGTACAATATATCATTATTACTTTGTACCTATAAGTCTTAAGACTTTTGGTGAATAAAGAACTTGAACTTGAACTTGAACTTGTAAAAAGTCACCAAACAGGTACAGTCAAAATACAGGTAAACAGTCACCATACAGGTCAACTGTCACCATACAGGTAAACAGTCACTATACAGGTAAACAGTCACCATGCAGGTAAACAGTCACCATACAGGTAAAAAGTCACCAAACAGGTACAGTCACTATACAGGTAAACAGTCACCATACAGGTAAACAGTCACTATACAGGTAAACAGTCACCATACAGGTAAACAGTCACTATACAGGTAAACAGTCACCATACAGGTAAAAAGTCACCATGCAGGTAAACAGTCACCATATACAGGTAAAAAGTCACCATACAGGTAAACAAGTCATGATCACCATACAGGTAAACAATCACCATACAGGTAAAAAGTCACCATACAGGTAAACAGTCACCATACAGGTAAACAGTCACTGTACATGTAAACAGTCACCGTACAGGTAAACAGTCACCATACAGGTAAACAGTTACCATACAGGTAAATAAGTCATTACAGGTAAACAAGTCAAGATACAGGTAAACAGTTAAATGTCATTTCAGGTACAGGTAAACAAGTCAAGATACAGGTAAACAATTAAGTCTCATTACAGGTAAACAAGTCACCATACAGTTAAAAATAAAGTCTCATTACAGGTAAAAAATATCATCATACAGGTAAACAAAGCAAGTCACCATTTAATTGCTGAAATTGTTTTCATTCAAACTTTTTTACACAGATTTATTAGAAACCTTTTTTAACCGACAAACTAATAATGATGGTTCTGTTTAGGTCGCCAACTCATGCTGGAGGACTGTTTGCAATGGACAGAAAATACTTCTTTGAAATGGGTGCTTATGATGAAGGACTAAAAATATGGGGAGGAGAAAACTTTGAGCTGTCATTTAAAGTATGTATATTTGTTCTTGTGATACAGAAGACAATCCTGAATACGATGAAGCACATCTAATAACTGTAACTTAACAATTAAAAGATCATTAGGTTGAGAACAGGCAAAAAATATATTTTATTGATTATCATAATAGAGGCATTCTTCAGAAGGAGGATAAAGAATATTTCACATGAATATATCTTTTTTTAATTTGAAAGAAAATTTAGGAAATATTTAGTGTGTCATCGTCAATTAAATCATATGCTGCTTTTACATTTTGTATTGTAAATTATTATGTTAGTATATGTGTACCTGTGACTTGAGTTGTATCATACTTAGAGGAATGTCTGTTAATACTGTCTGTAGCTGTGGCAGTGTGGAGGAAGCATTGAGTGGGTACCCTGTTCCCGCGTCGGCCATGTCTACAGAAACCACATGCCATACGGCTTTGGAAAGCTGGATGTTAAAATTCCCGTCATATCACTGGTATGTTTAAATGATCAGAGCACAGTAACTGCCGTTCTCTTGTGAATTACATTAGCAAATTTATTTTTGAAAAATTAAGATAATAAAAAAAAATGTGTTTCTTATTGCATTTGTTAAGTAAATATTTGTGATTCTACATCAATAAAATTTTACATTTTTTACATAAAATTAAAAAATAAATACTTCTGTTTGAAGGTGCTCAAGGCAAAAAAATACTTTTAATCGAGTTCTCAAATATTACTGACTGTGATGTAACTTTGATAGCAGAATTATGTGTAGCCACACTGACGGTATAAATGCATAATACAGAATAATACAAAGAAATGTAGTTCATTTTAATTCATTTTAGATGTAACACAGCATTTGATTGGTTAATCCAAAAAACTTGTGATGGTATAAGCACAATATACTGTCTGCAAACCCTTTCACACTTGCAAATGAAGCCAATATAGTAATTGTTATGTATAAATGACATCAATGACACGAACACATCATGAAATTGATTATGAATGACATCATGAACAATAGGTTGACCCTGAAAGGTCAATGTAATTCAGCCTCAATTTTTAAAATTCCTGACATCACCAATCCACGGTAAAGTGAACTGGATTTTGAAAGGAATGCTAAAATCTAACTTAAAAATCATCATTTCCTTTTGGTTGTTTTAGCTTATATGAATCAGAATATGCGTCGCCAGTAAAATACAGTAGGGTTATCCCCGAAATTATTCGACTACCAATCCATATTTATTCCAGAACTACATGCGTGTGGTGGAGGTTTGGCTTGACGATGAACACAAGGAGTTTTTCTACACACGGGAGCCCAGTGTCCGAGGCTATCCTGTGGGGGACCTCACTAAACAACTCAAGTTTAAAAAGGATCACAATTGTAAAAGCTTTAAGTGGTTCATGGAGGAAGTAGCTTTTGAAGTGTACGACAGATTCCCCAAACTGCCTCCCAACAAAGCTTGGGGAGAAGTAAGTCTGAGGAGTGGTGTGCTCACGTGAACATATAAAAATGTAGAGAACTATATAACCGTATATAAATCAAATTTCGGTAGGTATTTTTATTCCAAAGCATGTCAATGCTTATTCAGTTCTCACAGCTTTTTTTCATGGTTAAATGATATTAAACTAAATTCTGTACAGTTACAGATAAAAAGCAAGTGCTACATGTATAGATAATTTGTTCCTGATTCTCTAGTTTTAGTTATGCTTGTAATTTTTTATGGAGATTGGAAAAAAACAGCTGTTTTCAAAAATATTACAAAGTGTGCTTTAACAGAGGAGTGTTCATCTGATGTAGAAGTTAGGTAGAGTGTGACAGTTTCTAATCTTCAGAATGTTGTAATATTTTAATTTCCCAATTATGAATTTGGAAAATTGTAAAAAACGGGAAGATTTAAAAAAAATAAAATGTTGATATATCCAAGCTCAAATCCAGTAATAAAATGTTTAAGTATCCATTTCACTTCCTATCTAAGGACTTGATAACCCTGTAGTTAATACAAAAGAAAATTCATATGATGAGCATTGCCGATGGTCCAAGACATATATCAGTTCCAAAAAAAGAATTAAAGTGGATGTATTCAAATTTTGTTTTGGTATGATTACAGGTGAAGGAGAAGAGCGGAATGCGTTGCCTGGATACGATGGGACAACAAGTCGGCGGAGGGGCAATGGGTATCAGTGGATGTCATCACTTCGGTGGTAACCAGGTACAGTGGATGAGTACAGTTGTCTCCCCTGATATGTGTTTGGTACAGCCTGTCACCCCCTCTAGCTCAAATCAGACTGGCAATAATCTGTGTCTGTCTGTTCCGATCGGTTTCTTAGGCAGTCACAAAGCTGTGGATTCATACCATGTGGACACAGGGGCAGGGCACAGACTAACCCCCACCCCATATAGTCTTGTAGACTCTACATAAGCAAATACGGGTCAGGGGTTAGTCTGTGCCTTGCGCCCTGTGCATGTGGACAAACGTTACAGGACTTAGTGTACTTAAGATACTTCCTACGTTGTTCACAGGGATATTTAAAAAATTCTCTTGACAATCAATCTAAAAAAAAGGGGGAAAAAAAGTTTTAATTTAGATATTGAACAACACCTTCAATGTGTTAAACCACTTTAACTTTACTGTAGCAACTCTTGATTTGAATTGAATTTCAGAGATTTTCCATTAAAGAATTAAAAACATATCCAAGTACTTCAGTTATTCAAATCAATTTTTTCACTTCATACAATAAAATGATGGGTTAAAAGACTTAGATTGAGTAATGTTTATATCTAGTGTAATCATATTTGTCAGCATAATTTCCTTGTTAACATTGAAAGGTTTTAGGTCAAAACCAGGCCCTAGTTTCACAGATATTAATTAACTTGCAGAAATTTCTATGTTGGAGGTTTTTTTCTCCATTGGAAAGCATTATTACAATTTGGAAAAAATCATAATGCTTTTCTATGGAAAATTGTACATTACGGAATTTCTTTTGTTTGTGGAACTGGGGCTTGCAAAAGTTTTCCTGTACTAGTACTTGATATGAATATACAGCTATTGTGATTGTGATAAGGAGCTTAAAGGCGGTGAGACAAAGACAATGGATTTTATAATGAGATGCAGCATGATTGAATGGCATTCAATTGAACTTGCATGGCATTGGTATTGTCTTAAGATATTGCGTATGATTTAATTATGATTTCTTAAATTTGGGAAATTTGATTTTTTTCTTTCTTTTTTCTTTCTTTTGAAATGCAGAATGATTTTGCTGTCAGATAACAAAGGCATTTGATATCTTGTGTGGTGTAAATTTTGTTGAATGAAAATGCATGAAAACCATAACATCATCTTTGAAAATGTATAGAATCAAGTGAAGTGACAACCTAATACAGTACATAAATAACCCCAAGAACATCTGAAATATTTGGACATATAGAATACTTATTGTAACAATATGGTATTTAAAAGGTGTTTAATTAACAAAAAAGTACTGTTGATTGACATGTATTGTTTATCATAGGTGTCTGTTTAAGGTCATATTAGTTAAATAATTTGCACTACATTGTATTTGAATAGGTAACACAATGAAAGTACTTTATACTAAATAATAGATGTTAACTTGAGTTCTGATTAATATTAACACAAATTACTTGTGTATTGCTATAAATTTTGATTATTTAATGGCCAATATAAACAAATTATATCAAAGTCAATGATACTACATGCCCATTAAATACCAAAATGATTAAAATAATGGCCATGAAACTTGCAGTGTCAATGAGATACAATTTTTGGTTCTTTATTAGTCATGTGTTGATAATGTTAGATAAAATTAATTGTATCCTCAAACAAACAAATAATTGTGCTCCATATGTTTCGAATTGATTCATGAAATTAGTAGAAGTACTGGCCATTAGCAATACAACAAATAAATAATGGCGAAAGATGCTCAAGTTGTTGAATGATGGTGCTGATATCGCATTTCACAGGCTATTTGGAATCATTAACCTAGAACTGTATTACATTCTACTTAGTACGGATTTTCGCACAGCATATTATAATACAAACTTACTTCCCTAAAACCCTTGAACTCATGGAAAGCACCAGCAAAATCTTTTTTTGGTTTTAGTAGACATGCTTATGGGGGGAGAGGGGTAATGCTGGGAAGGGGGTATTTAAAACTGTTGTCATATCATATACAAGTTATAAACATCTTAAACGTATATGTCTGTACTTCTGTATATTAGTGATCACCTTGACATGTAATTGGTATGTCTGTAGGTGTATGAAATGGCACTGTGTAACTGTAGGTTGTATGGGAGATATCTATAAACATGTTTACTTTGTAAACGTTGAGTGAAATATCTTTCTGTATAAATACCGATATGTATAATAATATGAATGCCCTGCCTGTGATGCCATCTCGCCTGTTGCCAGTTTGATTGATAGCTGTACTCTGGTCACTGTTGTACCTAACACATTCAGGGACTGACAGGTAACATCCAGCTTACCTGGCTGTCACCGTTGTGGTCGCCCTCCATCTGGTTAACTTTGAATTTCAAATATATAGAATCCTTATGAAATTTATTTTAAGCTTGAAATCAAATGTAATATTTGCTTGTTGAAAGTTGACAATTAACAACTATGATTTTAAATTTGTTATCACACCTGAGACAGGTAAGTATATCCAGGTAAATACTGTTTATATAGAAATTGTGTTGCATGCTACATACAGAGGTTCTTAGTAAGTTATGCATTATGTTATGCATTATTTCAAAAGTACATGATATTATGATATTTTATTTTTAATTCACAGTGTATGAATTTTATGTTTTACCTATATATATACCTCTATATTTGATCATTGTGTAAGTGTAAACTATATTTTTTTTATCAATTTCTATAATATACACATCAATTTTCCAATAGTTTTTGTGGTATATGCCCTGCCAAAGTCAGCATAACTCCCAAAAAGTTTCCCCATATTAGGCCAAAACCAGTATAAATTCTCCATGTCTTTCTATCATCACAATTTCTAGCTAGTGTTTTTAGTATCAGTAAACATGTCATGTCTTTTTGATTACAATGCCTGTGAATACCTGACCACTTGAACTACCCGTACACAGCAAGTATGTATAGATAGTTATCTCCCTTGTGACTTATTTGGAGCAAGGGACTTCATTTCTATAGACTTTCTGGACTTAATTTTGGACTATCAAATCTCTATTTAGTGTTTTGAGGTTGAGGTTTAATTTTTTCTTTCTTAGTAAAAAAGTTTCTTTTTAGCTAAAGTGCGATAATTCTGTAAAAGCTTGGCTAGGAACTGTATCAGGTCATAGAAAACCTAAATCAAGATATCTGTTGCCTGTGACATAGAAAACCTAAATCAAGATATCTGTTGCCCATGATATAGAAAACCTAGACCCAGATATCTGTGGTCTGTGAAACAGAAAACCTAGAACCAGATATTTGTTGCCTGTGACATAGAAAACCTAGATCCAGATTTCTGTTGCCTGTGACACAGAAAACCTAGATTCAGATATCTGTTGCCTGTGACATAGAAAACCTAGAACCAGATATTTGTTGCCTGTGACATAGAAAACCTAGATCAAGATATCTGTTGCCTGTGACATAGAAACCCTAAATCAAGATATCTGTTGCCCATGATATAGAAAACCTAGACCCAGATATCTGTGGTCTGTGAAACAGAAAACCCAGAACCAGATATTTGTTGCCTGTGACATAGAAAACCTAGAACCAGATATTTGTTGCCTGTGACATAGAAAACCTAGATTCAGATATCTGTTGCCTGTGACATAGAAAACTGAGAACCAGATATCTGTTGCCTGTGCCATAGAAAATCTAGGTCCAGATATCTGTTGCCTGTGACATAGAAAACTGAGAACCAGATATCTGTTGCCTGTGCCATAGAAAACCTAGATCCAGATATCTGTTGCCTGTGACATAGAAAACTGAGAACCAGACATCTGTTGCCTGTGCCATAGAAAATCTAGGTCCAGATATCTGTTGCCTGTGACACAGAAAACCTAGATCCAGATATCTGTTGCCTGTGACATAGAAAACCTAGATCCAGATATCTGTTGCCTGTGACATAGAAAACCTAGATCCAGATATCTGTTGCCTGTGACATAGAAAACCTAGATCCAGATATCTGTTGTCTGTGACACACTTTTACATCAGATTTGTGAGTACAATGCAGTGCAGCAAAAACAAAACAAAAATTATTTTACCTGCTTTCGACTCAACTATTTTTAACTGTTCTCTGAATTGGTCAGTTTTCCTGATCTGATTTCCAACATTTATTTTCAATAAAGCAGTTTTCAGGTATCTACTGTATTATTCAAGGTGAAAGAGAACTGGACCTGATATCTGTCATTGTACTAGCTGGTGTCACACGTTTATAGAGAACTGGACCTGATATCTGTCACTGTACTAGCTGGTGTCACACTTTTATATCAGATTCTGCTGATCCCTATTGTTGGGGCATTGGGTCTTTTCAATTTGTTTAGTTTTTAACTCATTCACATCTGAAGACACATTTAAACTCATCCAGTTCAAACGTTGGAATAGCTCATAATGAAAATTTCAGAGATGAATAAGTTAAAGAGAAAGTAGATCATGGACATGTACTATGGTATCAATTACTTTAATTCCTTCCATTTAAAGTTTTGACTGAGCATTGTTAGATCAGTGATAACTTCTGGTTCTTCTTTTTCTAATGTCCTCTTTCTCAGCCATAGCTTTTAAACTGTATAAGATGTCTTGTTGAAGTTGTAAGACTTCCTTCATCACCCCACGAGGCGTATGTGTAATTTTCTAGGACAAATATGCGCAAAATTTCTGGTGAAATCTAGTAAGGTCATAATTTTTAAACAGTTGAAGATATTGCGATGAAACCTGAAGTGTACAAGCATCACCCATTGCAGGTGTACAGTGCACAGTAATTATGTCAATGCAGCCTTGACCTCAGAGATGAAATTAAAATTTCCAGGAAACACTTGTCCAGGCCATATATATCTTCTAAACTGTTACAGGTATTTCAATAAAATCTGAAGTACACATGGATTTTATTGAAATACCTGTATCATTTACTGCACTGTACATCTTCTGTGAGTGACACAGGTAATGTTCAAGTATTGTTGCAAGTTTCATAAAAATATATATATATTCAATGGTTTCAAATTAACAGCCAACACAAATTTCTCTTCAAATATTGCACTTATTTGATTTTGGACCTGAAGGTGAAGGTCACATAGCCTAATTACAAAGCACTGTATCCCTCCTTTGTCACCCACAGAAGGTGTGTACAGTGCAGTAAACGATACTTGAACATTACCTGTGTCACCCACAGAAGGTGGACAGTGCAGTAAACGATACTTGAATATTACCCGTGTCACCCACAGAAGGCGTACAGTGCAGTAAACAATACTTGAACACCAACAGAAGGTGTACAGGGCAGTAAACGATACTTGAACATTACCCGTGTTACCCACAGAAGGTGTACAGTGCAGAAAACAATACTTGAACACCCACAGAATGTGTACAGTGCAGTAAACGATACTTAAACATTACCTGTGTCACCCACAGAAGGCGTACAGTGCAGTAAACGATACTTGAATATTACCCGTGTCACCCACAGAAGGTGCACAGTGCAGTAAACGATACTTGAATATTACCCGTGTCACCCACAGAAGGTGTACAGTGCAGTAAACAATACTTGAACACCCACAGAAGGTGTACAGTGCAGTAAACGATACTTGAACATTACCCGTGTCACCCACAGAAGGTGTACAGTGCAGTATAGCGCCTCTAGAGTCAAAAGTCAAATAAGTGAAAGGAAAACATTCATTCACCGTTTATATTGCAAGCATAAATAATTATAAAAACCTCACTGATTTACTGTACTAGTAATACTATACATATAATGAACTTCTGTTAAGATTGGGGTTTTGCCTTGGGTAGATTTGACCAAGTTGTTAACAGTCTGACCTTACATGCAGAGAACGCTAGCCATGGTTCAATAATTATTGGAAGCCATTGTAGCATGAAATTTCTCAGAAAGTGTATTCCCCAATATACCAGGGGGACATAAAATGGTGTTGGATGGGTGCTACACTGTTTGTGTTGTAAAACTCAAGTGAAGTAGCACTGTTTAAGAAGATGCAGTTAGAAGTAAAAATATAATTGGGCATTATTATATTTTAGCACCATTATTGAAACCATAGTGTATATACATGTATTCACAGTGTAAGCAGGCTAAATGAATGAAGAATTACTGCTGCCAGATAAACATGCACTTGTATAGTATGATATGGTCAATGTAAGGTGGAGTACTGAGGTAAGTATAACGTATATGTAACTCTTTATATTGTAGATGTTCCGTATCAACACCAAGGGCCAGATGGGGGTTGGCGAGCGGTGCATTGAGGCCCCCAACGGGAGCACACTACACATGCATTTCTGTGAGACACAGCCCACAGGGCCATGGCAGCTAGATCTGGTAAGTAGGTTCCATGGTTCAGTAGCTCTGATTATTCAGTAGTCTGAGTTTCCTCTGGCCTTACACCAGACTCAGACATTTTGACATATAGATGTCTGGTGTGGGGCCAGAGCGCACTACTATATGAAAATGTGGAACTCTCCGACACTGTTTGGTATCGGACAGTTTTGAGGTTCTGACAACAAAAATTGACTGTGACACAATACATACCTCACATGTATCGATAAATGGATTATTTATTGATCCAAATCTGCTCTTATTATCCCAACAGCTGCTAATTTCTGTCAGTAGAGTCCTCGGTTTTCAATTTTCAAAATTTCCCACCTGAGCGAATGCCATTTTTTTAGGTCATGGGAGTGACTAATTATCAACAAAAACAGACTGTCTGGAAATCTTCTAATATTTCCCGTTTTCGGTCCGGATCAGTACGGTTTGTTGATTAGTCACTCTCATAGCTACAAAATGACGTTCGCTCAGGTGGGAAATTCTCGACCTTATTGAACCTAGGAAAACCATATTAACTTAAATACTACATAAAGAAAAACTTAGACAAATTCTGGGAAGATCTTGAGTTGAAGTACAATCATACAGCGTCCTATGTATAGACTTATTTTATGTTTACCACATTGTAATTTAAATTATATTGATGTGGATATAGAGGCAGCAATGCCTGCGTCCACTAATAACGTATTAAATAAAATGAATTACCATTTGAATTTACCAGAGTGACTTCCCTTTTATTTACCAGACAACAGATATGAATGAGCAACATCAGCATTAATGATAATACATTGTTAACATCGAGTTTTCCGGAAGACAGCTACTTTCATTTTTGGTATACAATGTATTATATTATTTTCCAAAGCAACCAATACAGCACAGTACCATAATTGTAGGTTGATTTGCAATACCAGCACATGTGATATAGATATCACAACAACATCATTAAAATAATTAAACCAAGAAAATGTTGGTATGGTTTAAGATACTGTTTTCTCTTTCTACAGACAACAGGTGTGATCCGACATGAACACCACGAGAAATGTCTGGAGGCGGGAAGTGGGAACAAGGTTACATTGGAGCCGTGTGACCCGTCTAATGAAAAACAGAAGTGGGTCGTCAACGAGGTCCGACAGTGGAAGTGATCGTTGTAATCTAACAGATCTTTTAAACATACAGAAGTTTTAAGTAATCATCATGTCATTTATTTTTTTTGTTCAAAACAATTATAATCTCTACTAGATGTATAATACCCATAGCAGTGAAGGGATCTGAACATGATGTGATCAGTATTTGCTTAATGTTAAAGTTATTCTTAGAAGAAGGAATTACATGTAAGAGGAGCGCTCTAGTAAAATTTCTGTAAATTTAAAATTATGATATTCCAATGATGTACAATGCAATGTTATTTATATGTGATATAGATGTAGAATTTACATAGATAATGTCTCAAATTAACTTACTATTCTAGAGAGATTTTCCTCAGAAACTTACAAACCTACACCTTAAGCACCTGTGTTATGGAGAATCTTGATTTTCTTGACATGCAGATCTATGTAAATTATGCTATCCGGCAATATATTACCAGGGTTTTAAAATTTAGTCTTTACAATTTTTGTCTTTACAAAGATCATCCATGAAGTATGTTATCACGGGGTAGATCATCCATGAAGTATGTTATCACGGGGTAGATCATCCATGAAGTATGTTATCATGGTTTGATTTGCACATTTGCCAACTTTTTAGAATTTCCATGGAGGAGATAACCAATGCTCAGAATTTGATGCAAAGTTAAAATGTGTGTTTATGAACACCCTAGGATTTTTTTATTTTTTTTCCAATGGCATTGATCAGACATTACAAGATAGGAATAGTTTAGCAAATTCACTGGTTGAAAATACTCAAGTTTAGGGTCCAAAATCGGGAGTCTCCCACCTAAATAGTTGGCAAGTATGGATTTGATGAGTGACAATGCCTATAGTTATGTACTGTGTGTGTGATCAGTGAGATATAAAGGGTACAACGTGTCAACTTGTACAAATTTTAATTTGAAAATTCATTAATCTTGCAGAAGTTAAAATCAAATTTTTAGTTTCAGTTCAGGCATTACCACAAAATTTTGCATTGTATAATGTATTTTTAACAGGGAATTAGCGAAGCACAGTTGTAGAATTTATTGTGCAGTTTCTCCGTCTTCTGTTGCACAAAAAGACCTCTTTGAAGCTTGTCAGGTCTAGACAACACATACCCACATCATGCCTATTCTAACAGGGTATATGTTGGTCCGGAACAGGGAAATGCATTATACATTATATAATTATTATAACGTTTTTCTTAACTGGTTAGCATAAATATTCTTTCAAAGCTGCAAAGCCTCAAATATATAATTTTATTTGGTTTTATAAAATATACATGTATAAACCCTTTGTAATAAAGAATTTATGCAAGTATTTCATTTGGGTGAGATATACATAACACTTGCTATTAATTCATGTGAGTTTTAACAGCAAGGAAAATATTTTATTCAATTTAAGGCAAACCTGCTATACTATTCAATTCATTTGTAATGTCATGTAATAAATACATTTTGACAGTTGAATATTTAATAAATTTTAATATACCAGGTAGAGTGTACATGACAATGATGATGATGATGACAATGTTGATGATGATGATGATGATGACATAGACAATTTTATGTCAGTAATATTTCACAATTTGTTTTTTACCTTAAATGAAAAATTGCTTAATTTTAATATTGTATCAACAACATAAATTAATTAGAAATTGTCGTTTTGATTCACAATATTTGTCTAAATTAAAAACAAAAATCTCTACTTATTGTAATCTAGGTATTACATATGAAATTTGTTTAATTCCTTAATTGAAAAAGTTGTGGCAGCTAAAATAGTATCGGGTAGCGTAATAAGGCATTTCAGTTCAGTTATTCAACACAGTAAGGTACTTAGGCTCAATAAGGCATTTCATCAAAACAAGCTGGCACAATGAGGCATTTTATCACCATAAGTTGGCACACTAACTCACTTCACCAATGGAATATATGTGACAACAAGTACAAAGATTAAGCATATCAAGTGAAAAGATTTTATTTTTGGTGTTTTTAACGCATATTGATGATATAACGAGATGTTATTATGATATTGTAAACATGTTCTTAATTTTCTTATCATACTAGTATGTATATTTGTCGGAGCAATAATTAGGTGAAATGATTTCTTTATATTTTTTTGCAGTGGTTTTTTGGTTGAAACGAAGTGTAAAGTTGCATTTATTCATATATAAAAAAAGGTTTTTGTGTACATCGGTTAGTTACAAAATTGTCAAAAAAAAATATCAAATTCTTTTCATAAATTAACAGTTAAACTGAGTTTCATAGGTTCAGTGTGTACCACATCTATTACATCAGTTACCGCATTAACATAACAGCCAACAAGTTATATCTTGGAATCCCAAATAAACTTAATCATCCCTGAAGACACATTTGAACTCTTCCAATTCAAAGATTGGAAAAGTTCATTATGAAATTTCAGGGGTGAATGAGTCAACTAGACTTACCTGTGTGTTTGTCGTAGCTGTATTGTCTGTATTATGTATTGAAACATTCCATTTCACAATGCTGCTGCTCATGACATGAAACTCACATTTAGTTCACAAATAAATTTTACCTTGAAATCATTTGTACCAAGTAGGTAAGGTATTATAGCTTAAGTAACTGTAGTTTTATTCTAAGTTTCGTTTTTTTTTTAAATGTACATAAAAAATGTATAATATATTTTCGCTTGTTCAGTTCATTATATTAATTTGTCATTTTCTAAAATATATTTTTAAAATTTTGCGAAGATATTGCTTGATTTTTTGTGTGTGTTAGTATTTTTTGACTATCAGTAATTTGTGGGTATATGTGATATAGTTTAAATTATGTAAATATTTGTTTAATCTGAATTTTCTTTTGTCTGCCAATTTTGTAGAAACTAGATTTCTCACAAATCTGTTACCCAGATTTTATACTACAACTGACATATATAACAACATCATAGTATTGATAATGAAATTAAATTCAGATGATCTAAATTACCAGGCCGATACTTGTTAAAGAGTAAAAAAACCAGCTTACAGCTTTGAAAGGTATGGTTTAAATATTGTGTCTAGTCAAGTTTTATTTAATTTAAATACATTATTTACTCTGCGGCAAGTTAGGTATATCTTGTAAGCACAGGACAGAGAGATTGCGATTTGTCAAGTGATTTTCTCACATATCAGTGGAAGGGGGGTGTTGTTTATTGTTAGAACATCACATAATAAAATTGCATTCAGAAAAAACACTTGACGATTTTGAAGCAATAGNCCCCCCCCCCCCCCCCCCTCCCCATATTTGTTCGATATTATGCTGCTAGAGGTTCGATGATGAGGATCTCTTGTGTAAATATTTATACAATATTGACATGTATATATAGTTTTCTGTGGTTAATTCAATGTGTAATGTAGTAAATCCTTTACTGACTTCTGCTGATTGCACTAGGGTCTCATAATATTGGCAATAATGAGTAATGCCCTGTACAACTAACTCCTAGTATAGCAACATTTCAAGACTGTTAAGAAGTACAGTACTCTCAGCACACAGCCAGAATAGGTCAACAGAATGTACTATCTGATATTTAATCATTTTTATTTGTATCAAATACACCATTGTTAAAATTGCATTACCTTTATTATTCTATTGTAAAAATAGCTTTAGACTGTATGAGTAATATATATACAGTGTACAGGTCTATATATTATTGTCAAGTTCTCTATAAACTGATTTTGAGAGGTTTGTTGTTCAATACAGTACAGTCACATGTTGTGGATCCAGTCACCTTCAGTTACAACTAAAAGGACTGTATTTTGAAATAGCTGGATTACTGGGAAATTTTTAAGGATCCCTGTACCACTGCCAAAACCTGTAACATAGGCTACATTCGCGTATCCGGTTGAACCTGTAAAGAAAACGACAGGTACAAATTTGGACCGAGGCTGACCTCAGGAAAATTTGGTACGTGTAGATTGAGTGGTCCAGACGTACCTGACCGAAACTAAAATGCTGACCATTTCCAATTTGCGTTATTTCTTTCTTAAACAATGTCAAGTCACATGTAATCTTTAAGATACGTTATGTAATTAAGTGGACGCGTGAGAGAAGGGCACAATATTCTTGATATATTGTTTTTTATTCTCCGAAACTGTGGATTTTTAGCTCTGCTTATAGAACGGTCCAAGTGTGTTCGTTTATCGTGGAAAATTTCTGCGCCGCACGTACCGTTTCAACCGGGATACGCGAATGTAGCCATAGTGTCTAAAACACTTTTTTTTACTGGCATGACTATAGCTTTGATATGTCATTTTTGAAGAGAAACCATACCTTACGGGATTTTTATGAGAAATAATGAAGATGAAATGAACAAAAGGTAACCAACAACATTGTTCCGAGTGTAAAAAAAAACAATCTAAACTCCAGGAGTTGAATCCCTGTTTAGCCCCGCTCACTTTACTATCACTGAAACTGATTGAGATACCTGGTCAACAGAAGTGTCCTGGCCTAGTTGGTCTACAGTTATATCCAAATGGAAGTTAAAGGGAGGTTATAACTCTATACTGGAAAAACAATAGTGTAGTGGGACAGGGATCCTTAAAACACCGGCCAGATAACATGGTGATGGTTGCTGGACCTACAGGTCTCTGTTGTACAGATAAACCTAGATCTGGATATTGTACAAGACAAATTTACATAGAGTAGCATATAAAGGTTCTCATAAATGACTTAAACAGCTTAAAAAGCTGATTATTTATTCTTGTTTCTTGATCCTGAAAGGTAAAATATTAAATATTGTGACAAGGCAGATTTCATTATTTTGTCATTTTGTCTCCAAAATGAGTTCTTGACAAGATTTGATAATTCAGATAATAAATATTAAATAGGGTTTTAAAGGAGATGTGTTTATCTGTGAATTTTATGCCTGATGATAATGGATGAGAAATGTAATGTACAATGTACTTAACTAAATGGAAAGGGGACTGTGTTCCAGAGTGTGACCTGTATGATGCCATGTATATCAACACTGGGGTCCATATTGTCATTTGACTCAACCCAAAAAATGTTCTGAATAACATTAATCACATATTCAGCTTAATTGGCTAAAACCATGGATAAAATCAGCTCCAATTTCCTCGGTTATATGATCTAAAGAGGTAACATGGCATAAAGGTGTCATATTCTTAGTATTCAACTTTGTTTTCCAACAATGAGAATTTTTAGAGTGTTGTATACAGATTTGCTGGAGTAAAAAGCCATCAGGGCGTGACTTCTGATGCAGTGTCCTCAAAGAATTATAGTTATGATATAGCTTTTCACAGATTACTGTTTATAGGAACAGAAATTTTAACCCAAAAGAAATGTACTTTCTGCATATAAACTGTCCTCAATACTCAAGGGGTTTACGCTCATGCTCTCTGCACCCTTAAAACATGTCGGGACAAAATTGAAGGCTCTTTATGCACTACGAAGTAGACTTTTCTGATCCTTTGATGTACATCAAAATAATTTCACAGCAGAATGATGGTAAAAGTGACCGGCTCTGAAGTCAGGCATTTTTCCTCTGTAATTTTCAAACAACAGGTATCAGCCTGTAGCAATTGGTCCTTTTTTTAAACATATTCCAGGGGTATAGAGAGCGTAAGAGAGCGTAACTGTGGAGTATCGTGGATGCATTTGATATTTAGAGAGCAGATGTCTCGATTGTTGGAATCTGGTTGCACAAGGGTTCAGTATAATTGAAGGATGGTACAAGTATGTTTGGCAGAGTGTGTACATTGCACATGTGCATGGTGTGCTGGCATATATGTACAAGTGTGTATATATGGGTCGCAGACAGATATGTACATTATAAGGAGTGCGAGTGTGTGGCTTGATGAAATAATTGTTAACAAAAAAGAAAATAAGAATTGATACTTTTGACTGTTTGAAAAGTTTTTATGATTTTAGAGGGTTTGGATCCTGGTCATGTGTTGTATGTTTTAATATGATGTCCAACAAGTGGTCATTAAGTATTAATAATATCTGCTGTAAAATACGTATTAACAACAGATCATAATCTGTCGCAAATTCAATATTCTGTTTCTCTTTATACAAATTCAGTTGTAGTCAAGTACTCCTGGTTCAAAGGTCATAATCAAGAAACAGAAACACATGAAATACATAAAAGATATATAGCCAATGGACTGGGAGTGATGACATGAAAATGTAATGGAATTCAAAACATGTACCTCTATAGATGTAGTAGCTTTGTATATAGCTGTGAACAAGGTTAGTGGTGTCTTCATTGGCTGGAGATGTTTGAGTATAATATTGGTATACATTGTAGTTGTATTCCTGATGGAGGAGCTGTTTTACTGATTTCCCCCAAAAAATCAAATTTAGTTCAATATGGTCTTGTTGAAAAAATGTCTTTGTTTGATGAAAAATTCACATTTTATTTACTGTAATTAAAAATGAACAATACATTTAGAACATTTACATTTTTAAGTCTTTTATATCTGATGGATTTTGTTTTTTGTCAGATACTCCATGACAAACCAAGATTTATTTGATATATTTTGGAAGTCCATGGAATGGTGCTAAAGTGTAAGATTATAACAGCAATGATGTAAATAGTATTATTTAACATATTCATCACAAGGAATAATTTACAATTTGTTCACAAGGGTCCAGTTGCTCAAAGAATGGTCAGCTTAACGAGTGGTAACAATAGATAATCAAGCCATAACTTGGAAAAGTTTCTTCACAAAGTAAATGGTTTCAGGTATTTCTGTTTTAAGATAGTCATTTTGAATCTCAATAGTTATTTTTTTTATTTTACATTTTCTGGAATTTCAATATTTTTGAATCTGTTTAATGATAAGTTCTTTTAAGGTTATTTATCTGTAAGCTTATCATTCTTTGAATAACGAAGCCAATTCCTCTGGAGACTTATGAGTTGAGAGACATTGATGGGATGGGGAGGTAGGTACGAGTGACACTTAATGTTATATATATGTTACAGCTGGTTTTGTAAAAACACCTTAAATATATACCTAATCTCTTAATCAAGGATCCTGTACCACTGCCAAAAACTGTTACTATAACTTCTGAAAACTGTTTTTTTTTAGGCATGACTAGTCTACAGCTTTAATAAAACATTTCTAAAAAGAAAAAAATATATCTTACAGGACTTTTATGAAAAGTATCAAAGAAATAAACAAAATATAATCAACAATAGTGTTTGGAGTGTAAAAATTAGCAGGACTAGACCGGGATTCGAACCCTACACTTAAGATTATTATACCAGCGCTCTAACTGATTGCACTACCTGGTCAACAGAAGTATCATGGCCAAGTTATGCTACAGTTACATGTATATCCAAACAGAAGTTAACTCATTCCACCCTGATGATACATTTGAACTCTTCCAATTCAAATATTTGAATAGTTCATTTTGAAATTTAGGGGTCAATGAGTTAAGGGGAGGTTACTGTATATACATGTATGTATATAAGGGACAGGGATCCTTAAAAGTTATACCTTTGTACTAAATATCAATCCTACGTTGCCATGGAGTTTTACCTATGTAATACACACCTATATACATGTAGAGTCTGTACACTTAACACTTGTGAACTGGAGTATGTATCATTAACCAGCTCTATTATTTGTATGCTGTACTGTGGATATATTTTTGCATAGTAATAACATGTACTTGCAAACACATTTTTCATCTAAGAGGCTGTGGATTTTTTTTAATGTTTTATTCGTAGTGGCTCATAATAAGAAGATTTTTTTGTATAAAATTGATGATGATTGGTAGGTTTTTTTTTCTATTGTATACAATGTACTCTGGTTAATGGAGGAAGAGTGTTGAGTCCTGTCAGGGTGTATGTTGGTAAAGTTGTCTTTTAAGTCAAAACATTTAAAAGTGAAAGTAGGAAACTGTTTACATTAAAAACACTTGTTTTGCAATAATTTCACAGGTAGGGTTCTCCATTTTTACTTTTTATTTGATCCGAAATAACCGACTATCTCCTTTTTAATGTTTTTTTTTTTGATTTGGAGACCATCTCTCGGCTTAATAAAAAAAAAAAAAAAAAAAAAAAAAAAGATAGAAGGCTATTTCGGACCATTCTTTCCCGTGATTTACTGGATATCAAGGGATCTTTCGGCTGATGTCCCAGCTAAAATCAAGCTCCATTATGTAACCTCTTAATGTTTCCATTTTCCATGTAAATTTAATAATTTCAAGAGAGGTTGACAGAGAGCAATGGCATTTGCTCTTTGTATGTACCCAAAAAGGGGGATACTGATGGCAAGAAGACTTATTTTACATTTTTTACGATTCCCAAAAACATATTTCATTCAAGATTTGGGTGTTGAAATATTGAGTATAAATATGCAGTTTTGCTACCCCTATTAGAATAGAAATCCTGGGCTCAAGCCTGCTGGTATTGGTATAGCCACCATATATATATAGTCTTTCTATTTATTTCTGTGATCGAACAGTTCAGAGCTATACACACTTAAGATATGGGTGTTTTATGATTGAAGGAGGTTTATTGTGTGTTTCTGTATATATTAAGTACAATGTATTTGATAGACACTATATGCAATTTGAGACAATGTTGTTGAGAAGGTGCATGAGTGAGATAGTGAAATAAAAGTCCTCAAAACTTTATTCTCTTCATTGTTCCTTGATTTTAGATTTGCCAAGATAGATTTCAAAGGTAGAGTATATCCAGATAAAAACGTGTTCATAACCATAACTACATGCTTATGAGAATATACATGGCTTCAGTACAAGTCTAGAACTGAACAATTATTTTTTTTTGCTTGGTTCTCTTAAACTTTTCACTGTATGGATGGGAGGCAGAGACAATGGCACGGCTGTCACCCGTGGCGGTCACTTCTGTAGCTATTAGTATAGAGAAGATACAAAGAGTACCATAAAAGTAATTGTAGGAAAATGTAATACAACTGAATTCTCCAACTTACCTGAAAGACAGTGAGTGTACAACACCATCGCGTTTGCCTTTGTCGTTAAGGTAAATGTACCAATATAAACATCAGTTAAAATCGCATAGAAGTGTTTCACTTCAGTGTTGTTTTTTAAAACTTTAAGTATGTCTTCCTCTTAAATAAAGAAGATGAATTTTCTAGCTAGCAGTTACTTCCCTTGTCCAGATATTCATCTTTCATTTTGATGCAATGCATATATATTTGTAACGGTAGAAAGAGAAATGCAACAGCCAGATCAGGGTTCGAACTCTGGTCCCTCCGAATGCTAGACGGACGCTCTACCAATTGAGTTACCTGGTCGCCGACGATCGACCAAGTCCAGTTCCGTTGCATTCCTCACTCCGTTTTGTTAGTCTTCACCTCCAAAGACTCAACAATTTACAACTCCGACCTCGGACAACTCCTTGTCAAGTATTCACCCAGTGCTTGAACCTAGGGTTGGCAAGCTCGCCAAATGCAACGGTCATATCGGGATTCGAACGCGGGACCCTCCGAATTCTAGACGGACGCTCTACATTGCCAATTAGGCTACCTGACCACCGACGATCGACCCAGTCCAGTTCGCTATAAAGAAGCATAGTACGCGAAATGCATGAAGGCATCGTAATATTACTATAGAGTGACACGCAGGTACTTACTACCCTGTTTGAGTATTGTGACCTATATGGTATTTATGTTTAATACAGGGAGACGTTTTTTCTAACAACCTCACACGACGCTAACTCAAAAAGCATCCCATGTTGTGTAACCTTATTGTATATCTGTATATTACAACATTACAAGTAACCAATTACGATTCTGTCTGATCTAAAAGACCAAGAGGCTGAAATCAATCTCAAACCATGATAGGTTTAAGTAAAAATACTCGTACATGTGTATAGAGAGATTCAAAATGATGACCTGAGGCACACAATTTATTTATCAAAGTAAAACATTTCCTAGCGTGCACAAATCATAAAGCTAATTAACCGGGCTATGAACGATTGTATCCTATAAATCGTAGGTAGACTTATGACGTCATAGATAGTCTCCTGTTGTCCATTGTTGTATGACGTCACGTAAGTCCGGCATTAGTTACGCACAGAAATGCGATGGACACGACGGATGATTGCTCGAGTCAAAGCCCTGACAAACCGGCACTGGAAGATGACGCAGACTTGTCGTGCCCACAGAACTTATATTTCAAAGAAGAACAGCCATTGTCAGATCTTATTTTGTTGGTTGAGGGCGAGCGTCTGTTTGCGAGCCGAAGTCTTCTAGCTCTGGCTTCACCAGTGTTCAGTATCATGTTTACGTCAGAGTTCAAAGAAAAGGACCAAAAGGAAATTGAACTACCCGGAAAAAAATCTAAAGATATCGATGAACTATTGAAGTTTCTGCATCCAGGAATGGACGACAATTTAGAGCAGGGACATGTATCGGCGTTCCGGCTGTTACCAATTGCAGAAGAATACCAACTGGTCAAACTTATGGAGAAATGTGAGGACACCATTCTGGAGAAAATCTCGGAAGGTCATTTGACTAGGGATAAAGGAGAATTTGTGGTGAAATGTTTAGAAGCCTGTGCAAGGTATGGTTTGGACAAACTCTACAGAGCCGTTATTCAGAAGTGTTCTGAAAAACAGCTGCTAGTGAATAGCGTCCGCAAAAATGAGTCGCTCCCATTGGAAGTCAAGAACCGGGTGTTTGAGGAGAGACTATCCATTCTTGAAAATGAGCGCGAAATTTTCCTGTCAACAAGGGAACGTTTGGAAACGGTCAAGGGTCGTCTGCGCGCGATCATACAGCCACACGAGAACCACTGCCGCTGTCGAGTCGAACTCAAACTCCGCTCCAATATGCAAAGGTACTGCACGTATTGTTCTCGTAACTGGTGTTCGGACCACGTGAGTTCCGAGTCCTACCGAAGTTCCTACTGGTTCAACTGCAACCATCGAGTGGGCTTCACCGTAGCAAATGACGGTCTGCTCAAAGCCTTCATAGAGTCCAAAGACTAGATACACTACCATGTAATCAATCCGGACGGACACGTTTCGAATATTCGAAAAGGATTGTTTCTAAATTTAATTGAATTTAATTGAAGAATAATGGACGAAGGCTTAAAGCCCCTAGGTCCATATCAATACATATTTAACAAAAAGTAAAAAGTTTATAGGTGTGTCAATGACAGCAATACAAATATGTAAAAAATAGTCTAATTGTATTTCACGTATCAAAAATTGTTTCTTTAAAATGTTCATCAATTAAAATTTCAAATGTCTTAATCATATTATACCTGCTTAATTGCAATATTGTTGAAATCATCTTTTTTTCTTTGAAGTCTTTGTGAATTGGTAAATTTGAGATATATCTCAAAAATTGTCTTGGAGCATTATGTCCATTAAGGGAACGCTTGACTGATTTTTCTTATAATCGTATGTAGGGTTAGTCATATAGCCTTATACAACTGCCAAATATGATCAGTAAAACAAATCGGCTCAAACGGATTTGGTATTACAGACCGATTAAGGCCAACCGCTGACCGTCTTAAAAAGCCGAATAGATTGACCACTTCATATCGATAGGGTAATCAACGGGAACGTTTATTAATCATATGCACTTCGAAATTGTTCTATATTAAGCTTCGTCAGTGTTGCTGCCAAATAGTTAACCTAAAAAACTTTATTTGTATTAGAAACGAAATTTAGCATACAGCCAAAATTTCCGCACCAGATTTCGGTCGAACGTTATATGAGCAAAACATTTTACAGCACATATCGGCGTTACAATGCAATTATCTGATTTTTGTAAATATTCAAAACTAGCTTACATGTTAGACAACTAATCCTATGTTTAACATTTTGGAAATAATCAGTCCCTAACATAAGAGTTCGATTTCCTATTTCATCCGGGTAAAAAACAACAAGACGAAAAAAATATTATTGAAACGATAGTCTTTAATGATTTTTTTTTATCAATACAGGTTATAAAATCAATAATATTAAAAAAAAGTAAGGATTTCCCAAGGAAGGATGCCTATTTATAACAGTCAAATATATAGAATGGTTTCAGATGATAACAATATAGTAATCAATATTAATAAATTCAACAACATGGTCTTACAAATGTTCAACAGCACTATAGACACAGAGTATGAACACGGGGACACGTATTTCTATACCGTTAGTCAAAAGAAACTAATATTTGTATGGTATTCGGTATTTGTGTGACACTGTTTATTTTTATCAATACGGATATTCATGGCCCTGTGTATTGACATCAGAATATGTTATGATGTATGTAAACTTTTACCACGGGGACTTGTCACACGCAAACGGGCGTCAAAGTGTACATGTATAAATTAGTATATATACTGTGACCCCCAGTGATAGAGCATGTGACATGCCCCTGTGACTATAAAGTACTGCCAGTATTAAATGAAAGCATTTCGACAACCTACTGCTAGAGCAGGGTGAAATCAGACATCTTCAAACTGTAATTATCAAAAATAACGATGGATTGTGTTTAAGGAAAAGTACATTTTGTGGTATTGTGGTTGTTATAGGTTCATGTCACAGTAGACATTATGTTCACTGATATATGACTACACTACAGAGGAACCTTTGATTGGTGTCATTTTGGCACATTGGTCATTGTTTAGTAGTTAATTAAAGTACACTAGCTAAAATATCATGTGAGTTACGACATTTTAGCACGAGAAGAACGAAGAGTCTTAAAAATATGTTCAATCAAATTGGCAATGATAATAAGTATAGACGAATATATTATACTATGACAATGTATGAAAACGTATGCAGACATTAATATTCTCTACACATTAAAAGTAGATTCCTCTGTCGACACGGTATTATTATCCGAGGTAGTCCGGTCACACTGTGCCGCTGACCAGTGGACAAGTTCAGAGCACACTGAAGTGACCAGTAGACTAGTTCAGAGCACACTGTAGTGACCAGTGGACTAGTTCAGAGCACATTGTAGTGACCACTGAACTGGTTCCAATCACAATGTAATGACCAATAATTAGTTAAGACCACATTGTAGTGACCAATGAACTAGTTCAGTGCACAGTGCATTGATCAGTTAACTAATTCAGATCACAGTGTAGTGACCAGTGAGCTAGTTCGGGTCACAGTGTAGTGACCAGTAAACTAGTTAGGGTCACAGTGTAGTGACCACTAAACTAGTTAGGGACACAGTGTAGTGACCAGTGAACTAGTTAGGGTCATAGTGTAGTGACCAGTGAGCTAGTTAGGGTCACAGTGTAGAGACCAGTGTGCAAGTTCAGGTCACAGTAAAGTGACCAGTGTACACGTTCGGGTCACAGTGTAGTGACCAGTGAACTTGGTCAGGTCACAGTGTAGAGAATCACAATGTAATGACCAATAATTAGTTAAGACCACATTGTAGTGACAAATGAACTAGTTCAGTGCACAGTGCATTGATCAGTTAACTAATTCAGATCACAGTGTAGTGACCAGCGAGCTAGTTCGGGTCACAGTGTAGTGACCAGTGAACGTGTTCGGGACACAGTGTAGTGACCAGTGAACTTGTTCGGGGCACAGTGTAGTGACCAGTGAACTTGGTCAGGTCACAGTGTAGAGAATCACAATGTAATGACCAATAATTAGTTAAGACCACATTGTAGTGACAAATGAACTAGTTCAGTGCACAGTGCATTGATCAGTTAACTAATTCAGATCACAGTGTAGTGACCAGTGAGCTAGTACGGGTCACAGTGTAGTGACCAGTAAACTAGTTAGGGTCACAGTGTAGTGACCAGTAAACTAGTTAGGGTCACAGTGTAGTGACCACTAAACTAGTTAGGGACACAGTGTAGTGACCAGTGAACTTGTTCGGGGCACAGTGTAGTGACCAGTGAACTTGGTCAGGTCACAGTGTAGAGAATCACAATGTAATGACCAATAATTAGTTAAGACCACATTGTAGTGACAAATGAACTAGTTCAGTGCACAGTGCATTGATCAGTTAACTAATTCAGATCACAGTGTAGTGACCAGTGAGCTAGTACGGGTCACAGTGTAGTGACCAGTAAACTAGTTAGGGTCACAGTGTAGTGACCACTAAACTAGTTAGGGACACAGTGTAGTGACCAGTGAACTTGTTCGGGGCACAGTGTAGTGACCAGTGAACTTGGTCAGGTCACAGTGTAGAGAATCACAATGTAATGACCAATAATTAGTTAAGACCACATTGTAGTGACAAATGAACTAGTTCAGTGCACAGTGCATTGATCAGTTAACTAATTCAGATCACAGTGTAGTGTCCAGTGAGCTAGTTCGGGTCACAGTGTAGTGACCAGTGAACTTGGTCAGGTCACAGTGTAGAGAATCACAATGTAATGACCAATAATTAGTTAAGACCACATTGTAGTGACAAATGAACTAGTTCAGTGCACAGTGCATTGATCAGTTAACTAATTCAGATCACAGTGTAGTGTCCAGTGAGCTAGTTCGGGTCACAGTGTAGTGACCAGTAAACTAGTTAGGGTCACAGTGTAGTGACCACTAAACTAGTTAGGGACACAGTGTAGTGACCAGTGAACTTGTTAGGGTCACAGTGTAGTGACCAGTGAACTTGTTAGGGTCACAGTGTAGTGACCAGTGAACTTGTTAGGGTCACAGTGTAGTGACCAGTGAACTTGTTAGGGTCACAGTGTAGTGACCAGTGAACTTGTTAGGGTCACAGTGTAGTGACCAGTGAACTAGTTCGGGTCACAGTGTAGTGACCAGTGAACTTGTTCGGGACACAGTGTAGTGACCAGTGAACTTGTTCGGGTCACATTGCAATGACCATTTGACTAGTTCAGATCTCACCGTCGTGTTAAGTGGATAAGTCTGGGTCACAATATAACGACAGGTGTTACAGCTTCACTTTTCCTGATATGACTAGTAGTCTAGTCCCCACACATGTGTAATATCTGTGTTAATTTAGACGGACAATCAACACTCCTACATCGCACAAAAAATCGCCCATGACACAAATTGTGTTCTGCATTTGCAACATACAACTGCTTATTGTTTAGTAATAATTTTATACAAATTGTAGTCGTTGTTTGCCACTAATGTGAATCACATGCCTTCTTCACAATACTGTGTACTTTTATAGCACACGTACACTTATTTTCCGTCCTTTCCAGTAAGAAATACATTTATAACAAACACACTGATAGCACAGATCCATTACAGCACTCTCTTGATAACCATTGGAGCGTTGACAGAGTCAGTCTCAGCGAGTCTTCGGCCATTGTTTAAACATCGAGATTCATTCATGTATTAAAGTATTATAATTACTGAAAACGTCTCAGCAATGGTCAACATTTATGAATCGACACTATGTCACTGTTCCTTTACTTGAACCTTTTCCGCGCTTTTCCTATTTTGTTTTGAGGATCCAGAACTTGAAGTCGTTTCCTCCAACCCTCCGGGATTCGCCATTTTGAAACACGTGGGTGCAATTGTACTATACAGACGATCTTTAGATTTTTGTCCCCGTCTGATGGCGCCTCCACCTGACTTCTCCGTCTTGTATTCCGCTTTCCTACTCTTACTGCCATCGTCTGGGAGCTCCTTGATGCTAAGTTTCTTATGACCTCGCATTCTGTGGTCATCCATCTGACTTAGATCAGCTGCAGAGATTGACCGCTCCTGCAGTTGCCGAAGTAGCTGACGCGCCACCTGGCCTTGTTTGGAAGTTGGCGGAAACTCCCGGACGTACGACTCGATAGCCTTGATGACGAGTTCGTCGTAAACTCCGGATACGATATCAATTTTTGGAAGAGTCAGGGGTGTACCAATCCTCCTTGGTCTTGGTGTGCCGGGCGTTTGGTGTTGGAAATTTCTCTGACGTTCATATGCCTGCTTGAAAGTTTCTTTGAATTCAGCTTCCTTTTTGCCGATCAGGGCCGGCATAGTTGATGGACGAGGTGTTATTTGCGTTGGAATCGTCGGTGTAATAACGATCCGGCTGCCTTTAATCATAGGCAAGTCGATAGTCTCCGAGAAGTGCACCCTGCGATTCTCGAATTCTTGTGATGAAGTGAAGGAGGACTTTGAGACAATCTCCATTGACTTGGATTCTATGGTGCTAGCACTAGCTGTGCCCAGGTTCTTCCTCTGGATGTCCACTGACATGAAAGGCAACTCAAGAACCCGTGTCGACATTTGTTTTGTGGAAGGCCGACTGGTCCCTATGATGCTTATGTCTGCGAGGTCAATGGATGACGTCTTGCCACCTTTCATATCCATTGACAGACTATCGTTGTCAAGAAAGTGGCAGGCGGAGCCGATGGTAGCAGGGGTGGCGGGAGGATTGCGAGGAGGAGAGGTCGACTGGTGTGACATTGGGAACGAGATGGTCCGCTGAGATATTGACGATCGGGAAGGAGGTGGCACGACGTCCGACTTGAGACCCACCTCACCGGCAATCTGTTGCATTTTGGCTCTGTCGTCTTCTTTGATATAGCGCTTCTGCATTCGTGACATAAGTGCTGAACGGTATCTTCTACTATCCTTTGATTGGCTTTCGTCGACTGATTCCTGGATGCTGTTTGATTGATTCTGAGTACGGTCGACGGAAACAACAAAGTACACATATGGAAAGGAACCTTTTGAAGTCTCCGAACTTTTTGTGTTGGATAACGATACCATCTCCACCTTCTTCTGTTGAATTCGGGACCTAAGTTTGGTCTCAGGACTTTCTGGCATGCCATATGTGTGCGGAGTTATATTGTCGCCAATCTTAGGTACCGCCTTTTCAGATCTGTCTGTCAGTTTGGTTTGACTCCGGGTTACCCGGCTTGCATCATTGGAGGCTGTTTTACAAGCGTCCATGTAACGCACACGTGATTCTTCAAGCCTCTGTCGGATTAAGTCCATTCGCTTCTGTGTGATTTCGTTTCTCGTGAACGATATAAGTTTCTTTGATTGTGAGTTGCCATTTGCCGCTCGTCCATGTCGTGATATCTTGGCGAGGTTTTCTGTCACGTATTCAGTATCGTCATCACCGGGAGGGGTCGTAGATGTCAGACCCCCTGCGGTCAATATGAAATACGGGGTCACCTTGGCCGCCATCTTGTCCAAATGTCTGAAAAAGAATAAATAGTTTATTGTTAAATATGCACAAACTTATTCTAGACTGATGGATTTTAAAATAGTTCCTCCTCTAAAAAAACTTCAAACGTGTTAACTTAGATTTATGTTCAAAACTTGAAGTCAACAAAATGTAACATATCTTAAAAACTACTTCCAACTTGACCTCTTTAACATTAGGAACAAGTTGAGTTTGTTAGCATGTGTAATTTCATAGCCATTATCATGTAACTCTTTTAGCAAAGAGAATACCGAAGTGTGAAAAGAAATTAAAATATTTTCTTGTGTTTGTATAATTATACAAAGTCGGCAAATAAAACTGTCGCGAAAACAGTATCATATCGTTGTGTCTGTCACTGTTATCCCATATAGCTCGTTTTCTTCACAGAAAAATAATCTTTTTCATTCTTGGACGAGTTGCAATTATAGATAACAGGTATCTGCAAACTTATTATAACAGTATGTCTATCATTGCAAAGCACATGCGACATTGATAATAGTCTCTAGACATTGAAAAAGGTATTCGGCTTTCAGACACTCCAAAATTCTTTCAAATAACTGGCAAAATGTAAAATTCTTGAGTCAGAGTTCAGAATCTGAGTTTAAGCATGAACACGGTTTCATGAATACCGGCCCAAGTTAACGTTGCTGTTGGTCAACGTAACGGCAACTAACCCCGGTTAAAAACGATTCAATCCAGTCCGATGTCACTAATCCGGTTCAAATAGATAACAGTGTAAAGGACGGAAAAACGTGAACGAGTATAAAAGTGTGAATGGTGACAAAAACAGCTTACTTAATTGAAGGTTATCAAGTCATAATTTAACATCTAACATTAATTTACATTCAAAGAGGAAAGTCGATCCTGTATTTCATGATATTATATACGATATCTTGTATATCATATAAGATACCTATACAATAGAGATATCTTTAAAATATGAAATATCTTGTATAATAAAACAGATATTGCAAATAGTCTTTAAGTCATCTTATATACTAAACAAGATATCTTATGTACTAATTAAAATGAGATATCTAAAATAAGTATATAAGATGTCTTATCTAATTTGATATGCAAGATATCTGAGACAGAAAATTAAATGAGACATCTTATATAATTTAAGCACCATAAGAGATATCTTATATAATTTTAGCACCATAAGAGATATCTTATATAATTTAAGCACCATAAGAGTAATTATGAGCTTTCTTATGTATTATATCAGATATCTCCTATATTATATAATATTTCTCATATACTACTCTAGATATCTTATATATATATATTTTTCCGAAATTGGGGACCGACATTACTCCTTGAATAAATTCTAAGTTGGCTTGCCATAGTTATCGCTCCAGAGTTGATACAGAATAAGGAAAATACCAAATCCCAGAAGTTCGTTATCATATACTAGACATTATAAATATCTTAGTGAAGCATAACATATCAGCAATAACACAATCGAGTGTTTCGGAGTTTTCGTTTTTTTCTTTTCTTTTTTGAGTCGGAAGTGAAATGGACATCGAACGTGCCGGGAGTACACGGACACTGTTGACAGTAACGTACTTTAAATAAAACCCATATCACCGACAGGTACACACTGTATCATACCCTCTAATTATCTTGAGTTATCCCATTTGCAATTTCCAGGTGTTCTGTAATAAAATGAAGTCAAGTTAAAGTAAGTTCGAAAATGGACACAATCCTGAGACATTAAAAGTTTTTGCCAACTCAGCTTTTTTTCCTCGATGGTATCATGTACGAAATCTGAATTTATTATATACGATTTTATACAGTTTCGTGGTATTTGCTTTAGCCCATACTTATTCCATTCGCAACATTTTGACGAGGAAAAATAAAACGCCAAACTGGGCCGCTTTCGTTTATCGCGACCCAAACGGTGGAACCGGTTGGGCCAGAGTTGTTCATTTATGAAATAAGGTCGGACCTAATAATATAATCTGATGCTGCTTTCATGGAAGTCTTGACAAAACCTTTCAAGGCCTGCATAAACATTTGCAGATCCGCCAGGAGTTATACCCAAAAATGTTACATTTGAAAACAGACAAATCGGTTGAACCGGATACGCGAAAGGGGCCCTACTCTTTTATATGTATGTAGGTCGTCACGAAACTAGTTTTACTGCACGTAGAGCGTTTGAGCTTTTAGAAGAACATGTACATTGCATTTGATACATTTTCTATTATACTGTTACATTGTATTTAGGAATATAATAATTAGTGTCTGTGTGATCGTTGCATGTACATAAAAACTAATAAACAAACTAGAAGAAAGAGTTATTCTTGTTTGTTTGTTTGTTTATTTATTTACATTATTAAGGTGTATAGCTCGCCAAATATAATGTCAACATTACACCTAACTGGAAAATAGAGATGCTAAGGAAAGTGTTGACTGCGCGAGTTACGAGTGTCAATACGACATACCTTGATTTACAAGTTCAGAGAAGACAAGAACACATTTCAGTAAATGACTATAATTCGTCGAAAGAATGACGTCATAATGGGTTAACAATGACGTGACGTCACAACATCAGGAACATTCCGATGACATGATGCGGAAATTGTGTCGCTTTTCTGAGCTAATCCTGTTGATGGATTGAGAGAAAAGTACTATTGCATGCCTAAGGGTGTAGGATAGGGAAATTCTGCCTTCGGGACTTTTAAACTGGTGCAAACTCTATGGCAAACCTCGGGTTCTATCCAATTTGAAAACCACTTGAGTGGATTTATTCCTATTCTACACCTCTGTGCATGAAAGAGTCTTATAATAATATTAATCATATATCATTGTAGATTTCAGCGTAATTGTTGTTAAGTAATCAGAAAATCATTATATATCTATATATATGTGTGTGATACTGAGGATTGTTATAATAACAAATATGGCAACGAGATGATATCTATAATGCATTATTGATGATAACTTAGGGAAAACAATTCAAATAGAAATAGAAATTGATTCCCGGCGCATGAAACAGATCGATATTGGAAGCGTATAATGAGCGCCATGTTTATCGATTTATTTGATAACCATTGCATCAATACATAAAAGTCCAGTACATGAACAATACGATAAATGTTTTACCAGGATAACACTGAAAAGTCGTGGACTTATTTCAACTTTGGTCCTTAACATGAAACATATAGTACGAACATTTCACATGTTAAGATATAAAATTACTAATAACCAGATAATACATGGCCTAGAGTTATCACAGGATCATACCATAGTTATCACATTACATACATATTTGTGGTGTTATCACAAGTTCGAATTATCTAAATTTCAGAATAAAATGGTGGATACGTAATGTATGGCGTAACTTAATTTTGTTTATGTTTTTCATGCGAGTATGACGATGTTCTGACATCGTAACATGTTCAAAATTACCAATATTTACAGTGTACTTACCAATTTCTGTTGTTAGCGGATATCCATCGTTTTTAAAACCACGACACAGCTTCTTTCATAAGTTAAAATCCATGTTTTCTCTTAAAATATCATGATTTCCCGTCGATATTCTCCAACCTGTGGTTTTCGGTGCCGCCCGGTACCATGGTGCTAGTGGATTACAGCAATCCCCAGGTAATCCGCACGGGTAGGTCTGTATGTCCAATCACGCATTACCAAAAGGTGCGAGTATAATCCATTTGTTGAGTTAGGGTTAGAAACCTAATGCAAACTGGATTTGTATAACTTTCCATACATTAAACGGGTATTCATATACACAAGATCGAGATTAACATTTTGTAATTAAACCGCTGACCTCTTTTAAGCGAAGCCTTTTGTAAGCATTCATATGTACAGAATACAACTAGGAACAAGCACCTGTAACGGTGATATTTACTTCTGTAGGGACAATGAAAACCTTTTGTAAATGTATATAAGTAATCACGTAGATGGTAGGTTGTACCTTTGATTACATACTTACAGCATTATTACACACGATGTACCGATTCCATATATACATGTATACAAAAAAAGTTATGTTGCGATGTCTGACATTACCAATTATATATGTATGTAAATTCTAAAAATAACATTCGATTCGACTGAATTTGATTTACCAATTAAAAATTGTTACAAAGAAATTTGTACTTATCACGGCCCTATCTTTGGATTTCACTTCCCTTGGCAGTTTGAATTAAATATAATCTAAACGATACACATGATTCCAATACAGCAGTAGCTTTAATAGATATAAGATCATACACAACAGAGATATATTCCAGTATGTTAAACGAGTGTATCGCTTTTATGAAATGAGTAACATAAATTGTGTTAGCGGGTTTATGTAACGGGATGGTTTCCTCCAATCCTTGACCACCACCATGCATATTCGCGGGACTCTCTGCCGTCCCTGACGATAATACCTCGGTAGATATTGCTATGGCCTTGTCGGTAACAACAGGGACTTCTTAAAATCAGGATGCATGCTATTGAGACCTCCACTGAACGTATTTAGACAAGCACAGACACTGGGAATCAGATTTCAAATTAATTGGAGAAGATTGGGAGAAACCTATTGATTGAAGCAATACTAGCAACACTATTTGAGAGAGCTCATTGCTCAACTAAAGATTGGCGCGTTATAGCACGCGGGCGGAGGACAACATCAATATCATGAAGCCATTCATAAAAAAAATTGTTGTGAATGAAAATGACACATTTTGGTACAATAAAAGATGTCCTTTATATTTTCAGACTGAAAATATAATGATTGAACAACTTAGAAATAATGTTCTTTCGATGAATAGACCGCAAACCGAAGTGCACTGGCAGTTTTTTTCAAAATGCACTTGGGTTTTCGGTCTTATTTAATAGACAAATTTCTTAACTGGTCCAGATGCTAAGTAACCTAAATTAATATGTCGTTCCCATTTGGATTTTTTTTTACCTCTGTCTGTTATTTTTTTAATGCTGTTTTGATGATGTAAAATTCTACACATGTTTATTGAATTGTTTTTATTATCTGTATACTCTGTTCTTTTTTTTCTTGCTTTAAAAAAAGTTTATTGCCAACTTGATTTTGACAAGGGGTTGGGCACAAGTTTTTACATAGTCCATGGTTTTTCTAAGAACATCGTTATTATAATGATCGTTTTTCTTAAAATATTCTGATAACTGAATTTCAGTCTGTTTAATAGTGAACTTGACCTGTTATATCGTATATACATGTATGTTTTAACCACGGACTAGCTAATCAAATTCCGGGGTTTTAACAGTTTCAACCTTCTAAGTTTGTTAAAGGCAGTAAGCAAAGGATTATAAGACCTACATAACTTACCTGTTTCTTTTTTATCTGAACTGGAAAACAAATTGAACGGATTCCAATAACTTGGGATAATGGTGGACATATTAGAATTTTAATTGATCAAGACAGCTGGAATTGATAATATAATCAAAGATTTCCCAAGAAAATGGGAAATACGTGTGTAAAGTGAATATCACCCCTCTCAACCCACTCCTCTAGAGGAGCTTCTGGCGCTCGCCCGTATATCTCGCGCCTCAATTCGGCCCGGACAGTACACGAGACATAAGCTAGGGGAAAACATGAACAAAATTTATAAATATAACCCTAGCTAGCGACCATTTCAAAAATCTTGGTTCCAACCCTGGTCATAGCGCAAAATTTTCCATCAAGTCTTCGGTGATTCTACAAGTAACAACCCCCCCCCGCCCCCTTTTGGGTTAAATCGGGCAGTGGGCAAAATTTCACTGTTCCTGAAACACGTCCTTTGAAAAATTAATTTGGTTTGATATCATAAATTATTTTGAAATCACTGAATATTCATTTTTTGTACATTTTTCTTTAATAAGTTTTTTATGTATAAGTCTTTATATAGGTTTCTTTCAAAATTAATGTTGTTTCATAATCTAAGTTTCGTAACGACTGCTCGTTTGTCTCTACACTTATTATGGTAAGTACGGTAATTCGTTAAAAAATACTATTAGAGTTATCTCCCTGTCATTGTTATAAAATGGCAGCACCTTTGTCACAGAAGATTCGGGCCTTCCGGAGAATTTGTAAGGAATGGCCCTTAGACCCAACGAAAAAAGACCGAGATATTGCAGAGTTTATCCGAAAGAAGATTACGTATGCTTTCGAGAAAACCGAGATAGCAAAGGTGGATGAAGTGAAGTGCTACTTAGAATATATAAGTCTGGAAAGACTGAACGAAAGTTTTCATCTAAAAAAAATGCACCCAAGACACCGCACAGAAGGAACGTCGGGATATAATCTGGAAACAATCAAGAAACTGTTGTCAAACGAATCGTTCGAGCTGTCTCATGTGGTGGAACAGAATGTGGTATCAAGAAACATTACGCTTTTAAAATCTTACTTGTTTAAGCCAAAGAAAGATGTTGGTTGCTAATTTTGTCTAATTTGTGTATATGAGGGAAAACAAACATAGTGGTTATTATGTGTTACAACACTACTGCAGTATTGTTGATATAAGAGGTGCCAAAAATGACGTTTGAAAGGAAGGGATAGAGGTTTTCTTGGTGAGAATAAACCTCGTATCAAGAACTTGTGTGTTGTGGACAAAGGGAGGTAACCCCAATAGAAGACTTGAAGAGTAGAACATTGCAGTTTGTTGCAGAGTTTCAAGAAACCAAATAAGACTGCTATCGATCGCCTAAATGCATAAACTCACTTAGGTTTTCAAGTAACTGTCATTGTATTTAAGTTTATAATAAATCAATCTAGTTATAAACAGCAGATGATTGTCTGAATATTTTCTTGGTATCTAGATCTGTAGCCTGCAAAAGGAAGGGGTAATAATGAGCTTAAGTTCTGTACATGTGGGGCTTTTGCTTCTCATGCCAGACCCCACATGCAGAGCATCAATCACCCCTCCCCCGCCAAAAAAAAGAAGTCAGTTGGCTCTGAAACCTTGTACATGGAGAGGTAATGGTAATGACAGTTGTCAGTGGTACATTAGATCAATTATTGAAAAGAGGTTAAGTTTATCAAGTGTGTCTTGATTCATTGATAACGTTTTGTGACTAATTGTTGTATGATATATTAATTTTTACATCTGAAAGGTATCTTGAGTGATTTCTTTATTATCGTTATGCATACATTTATAAAGAGGTTTTACAAAATTATATTATTGTTATTTAGGGACCAAAAACAGCTTATTTGGACTTGGTTAATATTATGGAGTATAGTTTAGATTACATTTTTTTGGCAATTTTATATAACAACACCTACACATTTAAAAGTCTGTTGGCTATTTGAAGGGTGAGTGATTTAAAAGTGCAAGGAATGTGCTGAAAATAATCATATTTTCATATTTTCGGAGCCCATAACAGCTTTATTGAACTTAGTTTAAGTTTCTGGGCAACCTCTTTTTTATGCTGACGTGTTGGATCGTGACACCCGAAGTTGAGGCATTGATAAAGCGTGCAAGATATATGTTAAACAATATTTTCATTTATCATATGAATACCGTGTTATGAGTGTCATAAAACCATCATATAAATATAGGATCTTACATGAGTTTTCATTTCATATGAGATTTATGAAACGAGTCTTAAGAATTTTTCGATTTAGCGAGCTTCTCACGAGTTTCATAAATTTTATATGAAATGAAAACGAATTTAAGATCCTTTTTATCAGATAATCAAGATCTCTGGCATTTATTTGTGTAAAACGAAAAATTTCATGCAACCTTGAAATGTAAAAAGCCGCCATTTTGACTCACGTGGGTAAGTCTGTGACGTCATGTACTTGTCCTAGGCATGACGTCACAATTGCAACAATTGAACTTAAAACCAATCACAGGGCTGATAGGTCATATTACATGGGTTAATACGCAAACAAATATGACATGGGTTTTCACTGGATAACACAGTACATTATGTGATAAATTATGTTTATGTAACGTGTGTAATATCACTCCGGAAATGACGCCCCGTCCTGTAATAGTCACAATATACAGTCCCGTCCCGTCCTGTAATCATTATACTGTACAGCCCTTCTTTTTATCGTTGCACTGTATTGTCCCGTCCTGTAATCGTCAAAATGTACAGTCCCGTCCTGTAACCGCTACCATGTACAGTCCTGTCCTGTAACCGCAACAATGTACAGTCCCGTCCTGTAACCGCCATAATGTACAGTCCAGTCCTGTTATCGTCACATTGTACAGTCCCGTCCTGTTATCGTCACAATGTACAGTCCTGTCCTGTAATCGACACAATATACAGTCCCGTCCTGTAATCGTTATACTGTACAGCCATTCCTGTAATCGTCACAATGTACAGTCCCGTCCTGTAACTGCCACAATGTACAGTCCCATCCTGTAACCATCACAATGTACAGTCCCGTCCTGTAATCATCACAATGTACAGTCCCGTCCTGTAACCGTCACAATGGACAATCCCATCCTGTAATCATCACACTGTACAGTCCCGTCCTGTAATCGTCATACTGTACGGCCATTCCTGTAATTGTCACACTGTACAATCTCGTCCTGTTATCATCATACTGTACAGCCCCTCCTGTAATCG